TCCCGTAATAATGTGTAGGCTATATTCCACATAGACCAGTGTATAATCAATCGTATTGTATACATAATAAGACTACTATTACGTTCCATAACCTATAATACAAATCTGTAGATTTGTATAGAGTACAATTAATTACTTATGGAACTTCAGAAACAAATACGTGCCCGCTCTACTGGAACAAGGGGACAAGGCCTTTGTTTAGATCACGTCTACTCACAAGCACGTTTTTCTGAAGATATCAATGATTGAGCTTTGTGTTAATTAGAGCTAGAAAATGAACATAGATATAAACTCCTAAAAAGCCTATTTTGTATTTTACAATATAATACATAAAAAAATACTTGTACTGGAAATATAAATTTAATTTTTACATTTTCTTGTTTAATACACAGTATTATTATAGTAAATAGAATCTTAGTACACATTAATAATTTATTAAATATGATTGAACGCAATTATTTCTAGCTCACCCATTATACTCGTAAACCGGAGCTAGCTAGCTTCGTAGCTACTAGTCTGCTCTGATCACTGTGACTAATTTATTTTGTTACACTAGTAACTGTTTGTTTACTCTTGTGATTTTTGCTATTTGGCAGTTTATTATTTACATTTGTTAAAAGGGCATCACGCAAGTTTTCCGCTCGCTTAGAAAATGTTTCTTTGAAGAACTTTGTCTATTTCTTAACTAAAGTTTAGTTTATTGAATTCAACAAAATCAACTAAAATTTGAGTGAGTAATCTACGGACAGCCGTTATTATTCGTTTGTCAAAATATTTTAGAATTAATACACCGATAGCTAACAAGTAGAGGGTATTTTTGCGGATTAGTGGATCTATTGTTAGCAGTCTATTATGTCAAGTTGATCTCCACTTGGAAAATTTCCTCCCTGGAAATCACCCGGTTGTAATCTGTTGAATTCATACGATGCTAACTGGCTTGATTATTATTAAGTCTTGTCTAGAATGATAGGATGACCATGAGCTCGAGCCGTTATCACAGGCTGGTGCTCTATTCCATCATAAACCATATAAAAAAGCAAGTACTATACAAAAAGGACTAAAAGATTGGAGTATTGAAATAAAAAGCGTAGGGTCGAGCAGTAAATACGTAAACCACAATATTTCATATTGAGCGTGGCGTCGGGGGATGATTGATAGTGGTTTTTATTGCATTGGCGGCTGACCCCAGGCTTGCCAACTGGCACATACGAATATGTCGTCCACACGAAACTGATGGCGAATTTTATACTTACATTACGTTATATGCGAATAGCAAATTTACATTTAATATTTTTACGACATATGTATAGTATGTTATGTGAATATTGAAGGAACCAACACAATCGATCTTTAATCTGTTTATTTTGGAAGGAACGATGTGAGTTTTTTGTAGACTTGTTCATAAAGAATAAACGTAAAAAATACTTAATCGATTTCAGGGTTCTGTCTGCCTACACTGTATGAAATCTGGGCTTTAATTATGTAACGATGTTATGAATAATTCTCAATTGTAATGATTTAAAATCTACAAATATGCAGCTGTACGGATGATTTAACAGTTATAAATAAAACTCGCAACTGCAACTTTCAAATGTTTCATAGAATATCGCAAACTCATCAGTTTTAATACATTACGCGACAATAATATAGGACGAGAATTTTTAATAACATAAATCCGTAAGTAGACTGACGTAAAGACATGTCTGAAAATCCCAATATCCAAAACCACATTTTTTTTCCAAATATAGATATAGAGCGTCTGTGATATACAGATGCTCTATATCTATATTTTGAAAAAAAAAACACAATATGTTGTATTATTTTACCGAAGTAGATTTCGTGTATATGTATAAAGTCATCTATCTATTTATACCGCCAACCACCTTGCTTTGTAGCATCTGTTTTCGTTTTTAGGGTGATACCTATGGCAGTGAAAATACAGATGCATGATACTTTTCTATCATATATATATTTATAACCATTTAGTTGATCATAATGGACTATAATATATTTTAACATTATGTTTTACATACTTATTCTATTTATTACAAAATATTAATATAAAAATGACAGAGCGTTACTCGACTTACGATATGATGTGTTAGTTTTCATGTGCTTACATTGAGGCAGTTGAGAGAGTTTCTCACTTTCCGCTATATAGGTCGTAAATTTATGTAGACAGTTCATAAAAAAAGGATTTTGCTGTGTTAAAACAGGAAGAGTATCATCAATGAAAGTAGACAAGTGTGTAGGATAACGATATCGCTGTGTAAACGCATTAGTACAGTGTCGTTTGTTATCGCGACCACCGTGTAGTAAGTAATATCGACCAGGCTCGTCGCCGTCTGTACCATGATTCATTTAATATCCACTACAGGGGGAAGAGGATTGTTAGTCAAGTGGACTAATAGAGTAATGACCCCATTGCTAGCAATATACTATATCAGGGTGACCTCCACGTGGCTCCCCTGGAAACCATCGTGATAAATTTATGGTAAATTTACTACGATAGGCTAACTGACCTGACCTCGTACTCATCTTGTAATCCTCCACTGGTGACCAGTCAGCGTAAACCGGTAGCGCAGGCAGGTGCGCCATTCCATTATTATCCATAAGACAAAAAATAGCCATTACAAACTGATCCGATGTTATGAACTGAACTATTTATTGTGTCATATATTACATATATTGACTACTACAGATAATAGAATGTAAATGTCATTTTATTACACTGTATTACGCATTTTTCATAACACGCAGAATGATCATTAGCATTGTTCTTGGTCGCTATCTCGGACTACTTCTATTTTTATTGTCACTAATATTACTTTATGTGTTAATACAAAAGAATCATTTACAACAAGTGGACTTTGTGCAAAGTGGATAACTTTGTCTACACTATTTTAGCGACATTACAAACTTCTGTTCTTCAACTCTGTATTGAAATCAATTTGGACCTATAGCATTCAATTATGGTCACTGGTATTGTACTGCTGCCAACATAAGCATAATACAAAGGGCTCAAAATAACATCTACAAACAGCTTATAAATGCACCAAAAAAAAAAAAAATTTGCAAAATTATCATGAGTATCTCAACACTAACACAGTAGCCAAAGAGAACACCACTACTTTAAGTACAAGACATGGCTAGTAAACCATCCTAATGTGCTGGCCAACCAACTGATAGTCCGTGACCACATAAGTCGGCTTAAAAGGGGGAGGCTACTGGAACCTGATGATTAATCAGGGCTAACAAAACACACGATGATTCTGCTGGGAATCACACTCTATCCGCGACGTAACCTTTACCACATCTGTTTATAGTCTTCGACTAATTCCAGGATAGACACAGAAAGAAAAACTATTCTAAACTATGTTTCAACATTTTAAATGTCCTCTGCAATGGCAATTTATAGGGAATCTGTACTATATATACAGCCAAAAATCGTACTAGATGGAAACAAATTGTGAGGAGTTTCGTCACCAAGGAAAATAACGAAGAGATACCATTGTGACGTGACTATCACAACCACTCTGCCAAGAGTGAACTAGTAAAGAGGAAGACAGGTCTTCTAGTGATATGGTGCTTTTCATGGCCGTCATTTACTATTTAGGTTGTGCGATATTTGCGATTCCAGTTAAAAAAAAAAATTGTGTTTGTATAATTCAGTAAAAGACAGGTCACTCGTATTTGCTGTGCTCTACCTACATGATCAGGCGTCAACAAAAGACTTTATATATTTAAAAGTCTCGCGTCAGGACGGTCATTCTTAATACTTTTTATATGGTATAATAAGAATGAATACCAATTTTTAAAACTGAGCTATAATTAATAGATAATTAGTTATTTGTACGTGTCCTTTATTAGTACAAGAATATGAAACCCCGAACGTAGCCGTGGTTAGTAAAATTAAACAGTATTTAAGCACTCCTAGTGTCTAGCATTCATAGTATGTATGTAAATACTATATTAATTAAGTTTAATTTAGAAATAACCGTCCCCGTGTGATATGTCTAGGTATCTTCATTATTTATTCTGCATTATAACTGTGTAATTAGCTGGAGTGTGGCCATTGGTTTGTATTTAATAGATAATACCTTGGATTATAAATAAAACTAACTCCTGTCCATTCGCAGAACCCCTGTATGATCTGAACTATTCATGCGTTAGGTGATTTTACACTACGTGTATTATTATTGTTTAACTGCTGTCTATTTTGGTATCATTTTTATAATCTATACATATTTTATGTAACTGGAAGCCCAGTTATTGGTAAGTAATCACCGTCGAACATATATATCGTCTGCTGATGTTGGTAGCTCCTCTCATGCGATGCCAATAAAAGAATTCGGCTGCGTGCCCCCGACTCCTATATAAAACGTACTACTATAGAATAGAATAGAAAATCCTTTATTCAAATAAATTTAATTTAGCACTTCTAAATAGTCATAGCTTTTTTCAATCTATCGCTTATTCAAAAAGCGGTCTCATCACAAGAAGAACGAGCGAGAAACTTGCGTGTTGCTCTTTTAAATAATCGTTGTAACTTTTTGAAGTCGATATGTTTGAATATAAGCTACCTATTAGCACTAATTTATTAGGGTTAATATATTAAATCTATACTCTCTATACATATAAATAAAATTGGAGTGTCTGTTTGTAATATTGAAATAACGGTTTTTTACTACATGCAAATAAATATAAATGCGGTACATACACCAAAATATCATTTTTTACACTTTTTGTCTGTCTGTCGGTCTGTTTATTCCGGTTAATCTCTGAAATGGCTGGACCTATGTATTTGTATTAGTTTCTAGTACCCATAACATAAGCTCTTCTCATCTTGGGACTAGATGATGGTGTATGAATTGTTCAGGGATATTCTTATTATGTATGTATTTACAAAAAAATGTATCTAAGTTGTCTATTATCCATAACACAAGCTCTGCTTGGTTTGTGACTTATTATTATTATTATGGGACGATATTCTTTTACAGGGACAAGTTCAGGGCTGTGAACATGCCAGAGAAGGGGAGGGCGAGGAGGCGGCAGTGCCTGTTGGTGAGAGGATGCCGGGAGACGGGGCCAGCTGTTCCGCGCCTGATGACCAGGTGATCATATACCATGACTCTATCCTCGATGGTGTAGTGAGATGTGTTATGAGCATTCAGTCAACTATAGATATCGTCGTGTACAGTGGATATTAAGCGGTGTGTGAAATTGCTAAATCAACGAGGACGTTAAACTTTATCTATACATCTATACATATAAATAAAATTGGAGTGTCTGTTTGTAATATTGAAATAAATGTTTTTTACTACATCCATATGAATATAAATGTGGTATATACACCATATAACATTTTTTACCATTTTTGTCTGTCTCTTTGTTCCGTCTAATCTCTGAAATGGCTGGACCGATTTTGTCGGGTAGGTAGCTGATGTAATAAGGAGTAGACTTTATTTTTATAAAATAAAAGTAGCCTAAGTTACGGCTACTTTTATTTTATAAAAATAATGTTAAATTCCACGCGAACGAAGTCGAGGGTACAGCTAGTAATAAATAATGTCTCTGGACAGTTCACACAATGTCATCTAGTCCCAAGGTTAGCTTGTGTTATGGGTAGGTACTAGACAACTGTTAAAATGCATAGATATTTTTTTGTAAATACATACATAATATATATAGAAAACATCCACGGTCTTATTACAAAAAATCTGTTAAAACTCGGACGAAACGTGGTCTAAATGGTCGTGGTTTAAACCATTCCTAAAGTTAATACTTGGAATAAACCTAACATTATTACGAATCCAGATCTAACAGAGGACTACTTAGTACTACAGTTAAATCGTTCATTATGTATTCCATACAGAAATCAGTCACTCATGTCTGTCAGTACAATTACGTTCCATTTTAAGAAAACTGAAAAGATCAAAAATAATATTTGTTCAAAGAAAAATGTATAAACTAAAAATAAATTTATTTCTATTTATCTATGTCTTCATTATAACTATTTTATTAATATATAATATTTATTAATGTACTATTAGGCTGAAAATCAGTTTTAAATTATAAGTAGGAGTCCTATACGGAGAAAAGGAACGGCGAGATATTTTTATTGGATCGTTGAATGATGACTATTTCAAAGTCAAATGAGTGAAAAAATAACAATTAACGTCTTTTATATGTTTTTATTGTCGTAAAATTTGCTTTAAATATTTTTAGTTAATATATTTTTAATTTAGTTAAAATATTTTTCCAAAAACTACAACTAACAATAGAATTTTTAAAATGGAGTTTTATTTTTGCATTTAACCACTGTTAAACTAGGGGCATCGCAGGTCTAACTTTAGATATATATAAACTTCATTTTGTAATAAGGAATACATTGGTGAATGGTTTATTACTAGTGCTAAACCAGGTTTATCTTTTTGTAATAAGGCCGCCAGAGTCCAGACCGACACAAACAATCATACTCATGAATACAAATGCCTGCGAGGAATCAAACCCGCGACCATCGGCAGTAAAGCGGTGTGGTCAACCGTTACCAAGGCCGTCATAATATTAGTATTGATTAGTATGGTTTCTTTGTAATTATCCATTAGTAACATTATTTTGTGGGCATCATGATTCTGTAATGTCGAGAGCGTTGTAAACATGTATAGGCGACTATTAACAATTCCCATAACCATAATACACAATCGTTTTCTATTTTAGTCGTATATAAAAACTGCGTTTACTGATATGAATTTTAGTTAGATACTAGCGAATGCAGCAAACATTGTTTTGTCTTGTTTTAAAAATAATGGTTTATGATTGAGGGGTGAAAATTTAGGGTTGTATATATTTTTAATTCGACATAATAAAAAAAGAAAATGAAAATTGACACTAAATAACAGAAAAACTTTAGGGGTGGATAACTCTTATCGCTTAGGGGTATGAAAAATATGATAGTAGCCGATTCTGAGATCTACTGAATATGCATATAAAATTTCATAATAACCAGTCAAGCCGATTCGAAGGACTATGGTAACTGACATTGTGACATGAGAATTTTATATATAAGACAATAACAGACAGTTTACACGGCGCCATCTAGTCCCAAACTAGGCAGAACTTATACTATGAGTATTTTTTTTAAATTATACACATTAATTTAAATGTTTGTATCGTGCCAGAAATAAACACGCGACCATTGCGGTGTCCTAAACCTGCAGATTACCAGTGCCGTGAAATGCGTTTTTTATTTTAAAAATAATCTTTACTGCATGATAGACGTACAGCGAGATAATCGATGTAAAGATCTAATTTACATTTTGAGGTGCCAGACTATAAAAAATTGGAACTGTCCCGGAACGCAATTCGAATACGGTATGGGATAATGATCTGATAGAAAACGGGAATATTCAACCGGCCCTTGGGAAATCAATGTCGTTTGTGTTTAAAAGTTAGAAATTTCATTATATATATACATATATATGTGTATAACTTTGTTTTATATTGATCACTGGCGACCTTATTTATTTGATGCCCTCTATGATCTAGCAGTTTAACACATTACCTTGCTTCCTTTTTTCCGACTATTTTAATGATGTTGGACACAGCTGGTCTATACAGCTTCGCCGAACGATACGTGTGCAGATGGCACTCCAAATCCACTGAAGGTTGGGGGGAAAGGTGATTGTTAGTAATGTGGGCTGATGACCCCATTGCTAGCAATGTACCATGTCAGGTTGACCTCCATGCGGTCCCCCTGGAAACCATTCTAATAAATTCCTAGTGAATTTGTCACGATGGGCTAATTGACCTGACCTCATGCTCATCTTATTATCCTCCACTGGTGCCCCGCCAGTGTAAACTTTAGCGCAGGCGGGTGCACCATTCCATTATCATCCCATAAAAATAAAAAATAAACCCACGGAAGGTATTATGGAGCGTCTGGAAGCCAACTCCCGCCTGATGGATACGATTTTGGTCTGAGGACACCACCTCGAATCTCGGCTTAGATCGCCTTAATTTCGATCCCCATTCAAATTGGACTCGCATCACTCGATCGCAGGAATCTTGCTTCCAATAGGCGCGAGTTTCTCGCATGATGCAAATATTTGTATTCATGAGATTGAACTGATTTTAACTTATTACATGTTAATACAGATATTTTATAATAATACGGATGTTTTGTTTACAGCGCATCAGCGAAGACGATTCCAATAGCATTAATCCATTTGAAGCCGAAAATGATCCAGGTATCACAGTTTTCTTTTAATAATCGTCTTCTAATATTAAGGTGGAACATGTTTTTACGAAATTATATAGAGAGTGTTGCGACCTTTTTGACAGGATTGCCGCTTATAAGACATAACTAGAACAGACAACAGTTGACTAGAGACGAATACGGCATATAAGAAGACTGACTGATTAGGAATTTTATAAATTATATTTTATTATCACATTCATTCATTATCAACGACAACTTTAATAGTTACGCCGCGCGCCGACTAGCAGACCGTTCAAAGTCTAATATAAAAAGCCGAAAACTCTCTGCTCTTACTGCGCCAGCTCTTATCTAATTAAATTACTCATAATTGAGATAAAATACTTAAATTTCGGTATAGGTGTAAATACAGAGAACACATTTATTTACTATTTAACACTATTGTTAAATAGTAAATAAATGTGTTCTATAATAGTACTTAACCTACATAAACTTCCTAATCATATTACGTACCTTGCTAATATAGTTACGTGCTCTAAAACACTGCCAAAAGCTAATAAAGAACGAAATATTTAAAGATGTTTTAGTACAAAAATATTATGACTGTATTTGTGTATAATCTTCTTCATTTCCATAATTATTTTGCTAAACGTTTTGTATAAAAACAAAGTAAAAGTGTAAAAGCTTTGAGGGGATCGACCGTTGTATTCCTCCAATTCAGACGCTGCCCTGTGAAAACCACGTACGTGTTTAAAACCAAATTTTACAGGTAGAATAAAAAAATCATTCAGTGAAATCTTTTTTAAGAAGCTATTAAACCTTTTTTTGGGTATCCATTTATTTATTACAGAAAGGAAAACCATTTTAGTTCAATGATGATTGAATTTACTTGTAAATATATACATAGAGGTACCATAGAGAAATAAATAGAGACTACAAAATTTTCTATCAAATACACCCATAGCTAGTTTGTCATTCCCATAAGATAAAGAAATTCATAAAGAATTAAAATCGTTTATAGAAATTAGAATATATGTATTATGTCTTCCATACATCATAACGGTTTTAACGATATGAAACATTAAGATCAGCAGAATCTATATGGCAATAGTTATATATATATATAATTATATACAGTTATACTTATAATTATATATAATATATTCTTATCTATACATCTGTACATATAAATAAAATTGGAGTGTCTGTTTGTAATATTGAAATAACCGTTTTTTACTACATGCATATAAATATAAATATATACACCAAAATATTTTTTTTTACAATTTTTGTCTGTCTTTCTGTTTGTTCCGGTATTTTTTTGGCAGGTAGCTGATGTAATAAGGAGTAACTTAGGCTAATTTTATTTAAAAAAAAATCTATTTTTTTAGAAAATTTAAGTTAAATTTCACGCCGACGAAGTCGCGTATACAGCTAGTAGATAATAAAAACGTATAGTCACTTGCAAGCATTTAATAAAAAATATATTTTAAAAAATGTTTCTTACTAAGTTTTGGCAGTACAGAGACGTTTTTCTATTTATATAAGATGTTAATAAAGCTAAGTGCATGTATAAAACTCTTTCAGAGATGTTAAGGTGCACGTTGACAGCACAATAAAATGTTATCACATTATTATGATTAAAATATCTAAAAAATAGGTTTATATATGACAATTTCATTTCCAGTGAACACAGAGGGCATACTACGGACAGGGAGATACTATAAAGGAATATATTGGCCCTCCTTAACAAATAGTTTCAAGGTATGATATTATAATTTTTATAACTTTGCATAATTTTGATCTATCAATTTAACGCACACTCAAAAAATTAGTAAATCACTTCAACAATTTCTTAAAAATAAAATTACTCATTTTGAAAATGGAATGCATCTAACCCTTAAGTGTTTCGTAAAAAAAAATTATTACTTTTGAAAATAGAACGTCGAACTTAGAATTGAGATATTGTTTTGTTTAGTTTTATAAATTTATAAACATTCTTCTCGTACATTCGACTTATATTGGTGTACTGTGCATTCGACAGCGTCACCAATAAAGACATCAAGTGTACATAATTATTATGTTTCTATTTTATTATATTTTTGTAAAATTACACCATTTAATATTTATTCACTACACATTATTATGTTTTACAAATACCTACACAGTTGTATTCTTTTAGATTTTCCATTGAACTTATATAAATTTATAAAAGAGCAATTTTTAATTTTATCTATTTTCAATTATAGTGCCTATAAATGTCATAAATAAAAATTGGAATAATTTTTTTGGGAGATTCTATATCAATTTCGACAAATTGTTTTCCAATTTCCAATTAGTTTATTCCAATCGTAATCTAATTTTAAATCTATTTAATATAACGTGTTCTTTCAGGACGAAGCAATAGAAACTTCATACCAAAGATATTCCCGGAGGCAAAGGCAGAAATCACTCATTATGGTTAACGTAGTAGACTTAGCACTTAAGGTAACTGTCAATTTATAATAACTAGTAGTCGCCCAGTTATTGAAATTCACCTATGATTAATTTTACATTCAGTAAGACTATAGACAAATAATGTCTATTAAAGACAAACAATATTAATCTATGCTCAATTTGACCACTAACTTTAACAATAAACTAAAGAGTATATATATGTGTGTGTTGCAAATATACGGAAATGTATGGAAATATATGGAATGTTGTAAATACTAAAAGTAATGGTTTTTTACTCAAAGCATTTTTTTATGAATAATTAAAAATAATATTAGAATTGTGCACTCTTTTTCCACATAAACTAAAAGTGTGCGAAATTTCATTCCGTTCGCGCATAAAAAGGTGTATAGTTTATATTGTATTCGTAAAAAGGTGTATAGTTTATATTGTATTCGTAAAAAGGTGTATAGTTTTTGCTTCACGTATTAATCATATAGATTGATAATAATACTAATAATAGCCCTGGACAATTCACACAACGCCATCCAAGCTATTCCAAGGTAAAACCTGTAATACTGCGACCTGCGTAGATCTATTGTTCTCGGCCTTTTTCAAAGTATACTACTGTCAGGGATAAGAATTGAAGGATATTCTTAGGAGCGATGGTTTTTATCTCCTTAGCATAGAGTCTATACTTTCCTAAGGATATATTTAATTTATGCATGAGTGGGCTACAACCACATAGGATGTATAATGGCCTGATCTTCTTCTGCTAGGCAAAATTTGCAGATTATTGCCTATGTATATCTATAGAAATATTTAAATAGAAACAAATACCTTTAAAACCAATTAGGTTGCAAAACAAAGTGCTTGAGGCAGAATTAGATAAGAGTGTCCAACTTGATAATTTTGTAAATAATATAAATATGTATATTTCAGATTTGCCTGTCCCTCATATACACAATGAGAAATAATATTGTAAACAGTTGTAAGTATATACAGATAATTAAGTTCTACCGGTAATATACATGGCATTTTGTTTGTGGAAAGTTTGCGGTCGGCTAACATAGCGCCTCATTGCAAATCAGCTTCCATAAATTTTTGAAGTTTACTTTGAGTCGAATGAATTTTAATGGGCACGACTTTTGTATATAAGGCTATATATTTGATGTTGATTTAACTTAATACATAAAATTGAACTTCAAACATTGTATGTATATTAGAGTTAATATTCTATACGTAATATTAAAGTGCAATATCTATACAGTGGCTTCGAACGATCATCTCGAAGTGTGTAGTGAAATTATGGGCGATTTCATTAAGAAGTAAGATAAGAAATAATAAGTGAGATCATGATGGTAAAATTTATAGGGCTTACCTATCAATTTTACCATCACTGTTCCAATGGTGCGTTTTTTTAGTGTGGTGTGTAGACTATTTTCCTTAATCATACATAAACGACTGATAGAATTTTTTTTAATACAAGAAATCTTTATATATATTATATCTTAATACATAAAATTATATTAATAATTTTATGTATTATAATTATAATTAATCTTATATATAAAATTCTCGTCTCACAATGTTAGTTAACATACTCCTCCGAAACGGCTTCACCGATGTTTATAATATTTTATAGGTATGCATATTCAGTAGATCTGAGAATCGGCTACTATCTATTTTTCATATCCTTAACTGATAAGGATTGCCACCCCTAACATTTCTGTATTATTTTTTGGACAATATTTTTTTTATCACATTATCAAATCATATTTGGCATTAAAAATACATATAACCCTAAATTTTCACCCTTTTACAACTAACCTCGATTTTTTAATGACATTAGTACTTCAATGTATATGGTAAAACATGTTTGCCGGTATAGCTAGTAGTAATATGATTTATTAAGTTACAATAGCAATAAAGAGTACTTTATTGTTATCACCAGCTGATAACACGGCAGACCCGTACAACATAGCGTGGACAGTGGCGTTCTCTTGGCTGAACGTGGGCGTATGCCTGCTGGGCTGGTGGCGGTGTTTCGCCAACAACTACCTGCACTGGGCTGCTGCAGCCACCTGGATACTACTCATCGCTCAGGGTATCTAAATATAATAATTTACATTTTCATATATACTATAAATCGTTGATATTTTTGTAAATTCTGTACTCAAAAAATATACAACAATTTTTTTAAGTTATTTCCCCTTTGCTATTTTAATTTATAGAATGATTCACCCATCTGCACTACCTTTGTATCCTAGAAAAGTACCAATGAAGGATGAGAAAATGAACATGAGGTCTGATAAGTTAGACCATCGTGATAAATTCGTCAAATTAACCACGATGGTTTCCAAGAAATCCCACCTAGAAGTGGGCCTGAATCCCCATCATTAAAATTCCCCTTCCCTCAGAATAATATATTATCAGCGATTAACTTCACTTAGTCACCTATTAGGTCACTGTCTTTTATTTTTAATGATCTGTCACCACAATTTTTTTATGGATGATAATGGAATGGTGCGCTAACAGAATACGCTAGCGGGGCATCAAGTGGCGAATGATATAATGAGCATTAAGTCAAGTCCATCTTGGCAAATAGCAATTTACCACGATAGTTTCCATGGGGAGTTGCATGGAGGTCAACCTGATATTAGTACATTATATATATAAATCCACATTACTAACAATTCCCTTATCTTGTAACTTTTGAAAATACCTACTTACAGTGCTCTCTCTTGTGAAATGCTTAGTATAAACTGTTATGTAAGAGAGTGATAACTTTAAGGTAAGCGATGCTTTTTGTAACTGCCAGTTATATAATAAACGATCTGTGAAATACTGTTGTTACAAATTCTATTAGATATCTACTGGATGAGTTTTCTTCGGCTTTCCACAATTGTATAAATGTCGCTTCGGCTTTAATTTGAGATTTATCAAAAATTTAACATTCCCAACTTAAGTGGGACAAATAAAATGGTAGTAAGAATCAGAACAATATATCTATTGTTGTAAAGATCAACTTACCTAACAAAATTCTACAAATTTAGTAACTAAACTTAGTGAAACAATGGAAACGCTTTCAACTGTTACCAATATTTTATACAATAGGTATTAAATTAATTAATACAGTCTGTATAATAAAGAATAAGTTTATTTTTACATTATTAATACAGCTCCCAATACTTTCAATTAAAGTTTGACCTGGATATTTCAATGTTAACTAAACTGATATTTAATATAAAGAGTTTGTATTATATAACGCTAAAAAACTATTTGACTTATTTAAATGATGATATTATACAGGTCTCTATAATGAATTATGAACATGTGTTATCAGGGAATGAAATGGAGTTTAAGTTATTTTAATAATATTTGGGATTCTTACGGTAGTTGTACTCGTGAGTAGCCGAAGCGCGTCGCTTGTCTGAACCAAAACATTCTCCAAAAAGACAGATTAGTGTTTTTATTTATAAGGATAAACTCAAAAATAATTAAGTGAATTGAAAAAATCTATTTCTATATTATATATACATATTAAAAAATGTCTAAGTACGAGTATATCTCGGTTGTCTAGTACTCTAACACAAACTTTGCTTAACTTGGGATTAAAAGGGACTGTGTCAATTGTCTAAGGTTGTCATTATTTTATGCATAAAAGGAGAGTAAGATGGCTGCTGATAGAGATGTATTAAAACGATGATATGCTGTGCTGATCCCAAATAATGGGATGAAAGGCAATAATGACTCCATGAGTATTATTGACTTGGTTGTATTTTATATGAGCAGCGCCACAAGATAAAACTAGTCTTCAATTAATTAGGTATGTACAGGTAAGTAGTTAAGACGTGACCCTTAGGGGTCACCTAGTGTTTCAGGCGTTCATAGGCCACGGTGACCGTTTACCTTTATATGGGACATATGCTTGTTCCATCGTAGCATTGCAGCGGGGTGGTTATCCTCACACTATAGCGTTATATATGATGTGATGAGGTGTCGCTACAGAATTTATTTGTTTAGCGTAGTATCTAGGTAATAAGTATACTGGTGAAGTAATTGTACTATTTATTGTACATTAGTTAGTTTATTCATATGTCTTATTAGTAACGCGTACATTCGGACGATGAGTCGGGACGTAGACTAATTTTACATTTAACTTAAATCTATCTTATCTGAAGAGGTACTAATGGACCCTTACATCTATTCTCGAGTGTTGATAGAAATATTACAAGTGTAGGCACAACATAAAAGATATAATTTCTATTTTTGTATATTTTAGGTTTAAGTGGCCAGGGTATCGGGTTCCAAGCACCTGAGAATCAAGTGTGGTACATGCTGTTCATAATATTCGTGCCGTACGCGATGCTGCCGCTGTCGCTCGGCTGGTGCATTGTTGTTGGGGTGCTGTCATCGCTAGCTCATATACTTACCACGCCGACCAGCATTAAAGAGCTCATGGACAGTTACCCTCATGCGGTCAGTAGTTCATTAGATATTTTCACGCACATTTTTGTTTATGGTTATATCTTTTTTTTTTGGTATTTATTAAGTCACCAACAAGGTTTACACCAACACGATTACATATAAATAAAATTGGAGTGTCTGTTTGTAATATCGAAATAACCGTTTTTTACTACATGCATATGAATATAAATACGGTATATACACCAAAATAACATTTTTTACAATTTTTGTCTGTCGGTCAGTTTGTTCCGGCTAAACTCTGAAATGCCTGTACCGATTTTGACGGGATTTTTAGTGGCAGGTAGTTGATATAATAAGGAGTAACTTAGGCTAGTTTTATTTTAGAAAAAAATATTTAATTTAGACAATGAAAGTTAAATTCAACGCGGACGAAGTACAGCTAGTTATATATACACATAACACATTAACCGTTAATTATAAGCAATTAAGATATTTCCAAAAATGAAGTGTTGACAGAAATATAGGTACATTTCATACGGTACCTTCTCTTATGGATGGTAATGGATTTGTGCACTAATCTGCGATACTGGTAGGTATATACTGGCGGGGCATGGGGCGTGGACCAGTAAAGGATGATTGGATGAACATCAAATCAAATCAGGACTGATTTCCTTCAAACTGAAACATAGCTTACTAACATCACTTTATGCTACGGTACTGTAGTAGTCGCTTTTTTATTAAATTAGTTACACTCTGTTATACATATCAGAAATACATTTTTTTTTCTAGCCATGCAAACTCGTAGTTACTGCAGATAAACGATTACTTGCATGATGAGCGTGCATGGCAATAGTTGTTCATGCACGGGATTTTCATTTAATGTTAGATATACATCTATATAAAAATACATTATAAATAAACTGGCTTTTTAAAAAAATAAGTAATTCAATTGAGTTTCTTGCCAGTTCTTCTCAATTGAATCTATATACTGAACTGGACGGTAGGGAAAAAATTGTAATATATAAAATTTTACGTTCATAAGCAGCTAAAATGTCCTACATGAATAAATGATTTTTGAATTTAATATTGATAACGCTATGAGTTTTAAGTTTTTCTACAAAAACATTGTTGTCATTAAACTTTAGAGTTTCCAATGTACTTTAATTGATTTAAAACATCTTAATGATTTTAGGCTCACTCATGTTGCACGAGAATGTTGATTAGCAACGCGTTGCTGTACACGGCTGTTAACTTCGCGGGCATGTACGCCAAGTACTTGGCCGACTGGGGACAGAGGAAGGCCTTCCTGGAGACACATCGGTCCATGGTCACCAGGCAGAAGACAGAACGGGAAAGCGACAGACAGTGGAAGTTGTTTCTGAGTGGTAAGATAAAATACTCAACAAAATCAATACAGATAATCTGAAACAACTTAAAAAGCCCGAGTCATTGGGTGGGACAGGCGATAAATAAGGGGTGGTCCCACATTAAAATATTCATTATAATTTATTTGTTTTTAGTGATACCGGTTTTCATAGCGCGTGAGATCTACAGCAGTGTTTCGAAGGTGAAAGGTGAATTCCAAGAACAACAATTCAATGATTTGTACATACAGCGGTACCAGGATGTTTCTATACTTTACGCTGATATCAAAGGATTTACAGGTGATCTACTATACACACGCCAATATTATATACTTATTAAATTTATGTTACCGCAATTCGGCTACTTCTTTGTGATTAGAAAATTACTTTTATACTTACTGTATTACTTATTATAAATACGTCAAACATGACACTTAACTACATATTTTAGTCTTCTTTTCAAGCAATAAATTAATAAAAGACTTTTATTCAACATAATTTTGTAGGTGTACAATAAACATTTTTACTATTTTATTAACTACCTTTTTGTAACTACTTTACTTTTCAAACTTTAGCACTCTAGGAACACTAAAAAATACCAATTAAGGCCTTAGAGTGGAACAAGAATAATTAAAATTGATGTCTGAATCAATGTATATGATTCAGATATCAAATTAATGTCGTGAAATAATATTAATGTGTATAATTTGCCAATATTACTAATATGGCTATTTTATATATATAAATATCCGTTTTAGACAACATTGTTTATATAACTACCTTTATAATATTATACATATATGAACTCCCGATAGTTCGATGCTATTACAAAGATCCTGATCACGGGACCCAGTCGCCCAACCCAATATAATATGATAATTCTAAACAATTCTAAAGTTTAATACAATATGGCTATTATCTTTACTGTAAACATTATGCTTAAGTATCAATAAATAATAATTATTATACTTTTACAAGTAAAATACTAGAAGCATATAGGTATCTAATGCGTCTGATGACTGAGATGTGCTGAGGGTTTTAATAAGGAAAATACGGAGATAAAATAAAATGCGATATATAATAGAAAGTAACAATAAAGAATTGAATAATAATAAAATAGAAGAAATTGAAAAATAGTATAAAACCTTATCAAGGTGTTTAACACTCTAGAAGTATTATACAAATAAAAGACGTACCAAGGTTAATTGACAATTTAATTTTTGCATTAACTATAGCGCAACTATATTGCAACAAAACTATAAAATTGAAAATCTAGTATTTCATACTGTAAACTGTTACGGCCAATACTTATTACAATTTATACACAAGGAGTTCACTACAATACTTATAATAATTATTTCACCAACAGAACTGTCGAGTAAGTGCAGCGCGCAGGAGTTGGTGAAGCTCTTGAACGAATTATTCGCCCGTTTCGACAGGTTGGCATCGGTGAGGCTCCATTGTTGGTTTCGTGTACCTCGATTATTTTATTATTTGTAAAACTAACAATAGCTAAACGAGAATGATTACGCGAGATGTTGATGAGTGGTAGATTCAAAATTTAAGTATGACTATTCAACTCGTTCTTCTTGTGATGAGCAAGCTCTGTTTACTGTGGGACTATTCCAGGATTTTTTTATGGATGACAATGAAATGGTGCACCCACCTTCGCTTCGCTAACGGTATACGCTGGTGGGGCACCAGTGGATGATAAGATAAGCATGAAGTCAGGTCAGTTAGCCCATCGTTACAAATTCACCAAGAATCTATCACGATGGTTTTCAGGAGGAACAACGTGGAGGTCAACCTGACATGGTACATTGCTAGCAATAAGATCATCAATCCACATTACTATCAATCCCCCCCCCTCCAATTGTCCAAGGTTGTTATTATTATTTTCCCTCTTCAAATGAATGAAAATCCTGTAAGCTATATAATTGAACTGTGTTACTGTATTGCTACAGGACAATTATTGCCTGCGCATCAAGTTACTGGGCGACTGCTACTTCTGCGTGAGCGGTCTGCCGGAGCGGCGCGACGACCACGCGCACTGCACCGTCAACATGGGCCTCCACATGATACGGGCCATACGCGACGTGCGATACAACGCACAGGTAACTCTCACCACTCCACCATATATACGAGTATATATGCGAATAAAATTAACAGCTCTCCACTAAATATATATTAAAACCAGCTGTTCTTCGACTTCGTCCGCGTGTAATTTAACTTTATATTTCTAAAATAAAAAAAAAGCCTAAATTACTCCTGCCAAAAAAAGTCCTTATTATATCAGAGATTGCCAAAAAAAGTCCTGTCAAAAATCGGTCCAGCTATTTCAGAGATTTGGTGTATGTACCGTATTTATATTCAGATGCATGTAGTAAAAAACGGTTATTTCAATATTACAAACAGACACTCCAATTTTATTTATAGATATAGATATAAACGATATTTACATAATTATTTTTATCTGTATGTTGGTCTGTTTATTCTTGCTAATATCTGAAACGTCTGGACTTATTTTGTCGAAATTTTCACTAAACAGTAACTTAGCCTACTTTCGTATTAGAAAATAATATTTTTAAATGAGTGAAATTTCACGCGGAATAAGTCGCGGGTAACAACTAGTTATTCTACTAAAATTAATAATATGAAATTTTGTTTACCTTTGCATGGTCGATGTCGCCAATTTCTGCCACCAAACAGCTTAAAATTACATGTTGCCGTGGTAGGATCCTATGTCCCCAGGAATAACAATGTCCAAACTAAGCAACCAAATATTGTAATCCTTAATTCACTTGTATTTGAAGTCGATAGAATGTTTTACATTCTTGCTTGCCAGTTTAGCGTAATGGGCAATCACCTCTCCACTGTAGCATATGTATACCGCGGATTTACTCGCATTGAATCCATTAAAAAATATTTGTTTTTTTTTTAAATAAAAATCCTATGTTCATTCTATTACCTCCAAGAATATGTGTACTAAATTTCATGATGGTCGATTCAGTAGTTTTTGCGTGAAAGCGTAACAAACATTCCTACTTTCACATTTATATTATGAGTATTAGTAAGGGAGGTGTTTCTGTACTTTACTTTGTTGTTCTCTATAGTAGCTTGTTGGTATAGAATAGAATAGAAATAGTTAATTTTGCATGCCAGTTTCTGGTGAAAAGTGTGATACATAAATTATAATTTTTAAAATCCTGTAAACCACTTTTCAGGCAAAATAAAGATATTTGTATTCAAAGAAAATCATTTATTCAAATAAACTTAATTTAAGCACTTTTGAATAGTCATAACAATGTTTTTTTATCTATCGCTCGTTCGGAAAGCTGTCTCATAGCAAGAAGAACGAGCAAGAAACTTGTGTGTTGCTCTTTTAAATAATCCTTGTAAGTTTACATTTACAAGTCGAAACGTGTGAATACAAACTACCAACCAGCACAAATTTATTTAGTTCAAATATAAATATACAATAAGATTAAATCAGTCGTAGTGATAAGAGCAGACCAGTAACAAGCAGAACTCGTTCACGAGTATGACTGATGAGCCAGCCATCACTGCGCTGGACCATATTTTAGTGTTTATAGTATACAAGTTAAATATTGCACTCCCGTACAATTATTAATTTCATTTTTCTTTTGATGCATAGCCTTATACTATATATACGAGTTCTAAACGAAGATTCGTAATGCGGACTGGCTTATATTAAACGTTATACCGAGGTATACACAATACTGATGAGCTGATAGGCTGAGAACAATGTTCATTGTTTGTTTATCAGTATCATTATAGACACTTGTTTGTTTTAAAACCTTTTCTTTATTTTGTTCGGTATATGTTGTGTGTCAGGTGGACCTGGACATGCGTATTGGCATTCACAGTGGCACAGTGCTGTGTGGGGTGCTCGGGCTCCTCAAGTGGCAGTTTGATCTCTGGTCGCATGACGTCACTCTCGCTAACCACATGGAGAGCGCCGGCCTACCGGGGTCAGTAAGCTTATTTATATATTTTTCTATACTGATGTTATGCATTATATTAAAAAAAAGCTATGGTAAGCGATAATCGTTGGCTATGATTAATGGATTACATCTTAGAATCTGTATGATAGTAAAAATCGACTACAATGTTACAAATAATAAGGTCGATGTTTGAATGGGCTAGTTAAACGTATTTTCTGTCAACGTCAATAGTATATATACCTATGAATATATGATTTATTAACATCACTACCATCCCGGATTTGAACGAGTGGTTATTTTTATACACCCTTGAGTTTGACGGCCTCGGTGCACACCGCTTTACTTCCGATGATCGCAGGTTCGATTCCTCGCACGGTGCAAACATTTCAATTCATAAGTATGATTGTTTGTATCAGTCTGGGTGTTTTCTATGTTATGTATTGTTATTACAAAAAAATCTAAGTATTTATATAAGTTCTAGTACCCATAACACGCACTTTGTTAATTGTCCGGGATTATTTACATTATATATTATATTATTAAATTTTTATAGGGATCGATAATATTTTTCTACTCAGAAATAATGTAGCATTCTAATGGTGAAAGGGTACTTGAAATCCGTCCAGTAGTTTTTGAATGTATATAAAAACATTTTTTTCCCTATTTATAAAATTAGTGTAGACACAGATAACATAATATTACATAGTGTAGATTAAAATGAATCAATTTTTCTAGAATCTTCTCTTAAATTTTTGATTTACAGATCTTATACCACTCGTCTTACGTCTTTTACGTAACAATACGTTGTTTTAGCCGCGTGCATATATCTTCTGCTACCCTGGAGTGCCTCAACGGTGCGTTTGAAGTGGAACCAGGTGACGGCGGCAGTCGGAACCCGTATCTCAAAGAGCAAGAGATCACAACATACCTCATCAGGACCACGGAACAGCCGCGTCGGACCAGACACAAGTCCAAACCCTGGTGAGTTATTTATTTAACTTTAATGCACAAAAACAACATACATATGGCGGACTTAACACCATGCGGCGTTATCTACCATTCAACCATGAGTGGTGCAGAGAAAGATTGTTGGCTGTGCACTAATATAAATGAGAAATGTCAAAAAGAAAAAAACATATAAAACAAAATATTTTTATGCATAAATATACATAAATAAATATATATAAATAAATACATAATGATCTGATAATCAAATTATAAGTACAGCCTCAAATTGAAAGTAAGAAATATATATATATAGAGAGAACTATAGGGAAATAACAGAAAGATGTGTAAAAGGTAGAAAGACAGTAAAAAAAGTTATATCAGTATTATATATTTTTTAAGGGGAAAGGAAAAGTTTATTCTTTTAATATTGATACCTATTGCACTGGCTGAGCCTCACAATGTTGTCTGCATCACACTTATTTGACCTTTATCATAGTTTTTCGTTACAATATACTTATCTTTTTAAATTTTAGTCCATGTGTTCTGATGTATAAGCTATATTGTTATAAAGTTTCAAATCCATTCAGTACTTTTGTCATGAAAGAGTACTTACTGAATGGTTTTTGATAAAACTTTACAGTAATGTAGCTTATAGATGAGAATACAAATGCTATAATTTAAAAAGATAGTATGCAATTTGGGGGAAATCATTATTACATAGTATAAAATAAAGTCGCTGTCGCTGTCTGCCCTATGTATGCTTAAATCTTCAAAACTACGCAACGGATTTTGAAGCAGTTTGTTTAATAGTAGCCAGGCCGAGTAGCCAGTATAATAATAAATATCAAGTACGTATGTCTCAGACAAAGTCAGCTAGTGTTTTTATATTCCTGCAATGAAACTAAACGGAGACATAGTTAATTATTCTCGGTTTATCATAGTACCCAACAACAACAATGGGAAATGGTGTCGCGTAGACCTAGCAGCAGTATCGAGGACGAGATGACCACCGACTGGACTCCGGAGATGCCCTTCCAGAATGTGAGTGACATAACCAAAAATGCGGTGCCAAAATGCTTTTAATTCAAACGATAATTGCTATTGGGTGACGAATAAAAAATTATAATAATACTAGCTCAGCCCGCGGTTTCACCTGCAATTTATAGCCTATGTAGTATTCTGATATATACCTTATACTATATATAAGAATACCACAGTAAAGTTTCATCAAAATCCGTTCAGTAGTTTTTGCGTGAAAGAGTAACAAACATCCATCCACATTCACAAACTTTCGCATTTATATTAAAGTGCAAAAGTAAAGAGTCTTTACATATTTGGATCCAACTTTGCAGGGATAAGCCCGTGCCATCTCTCGGTACAGTTTGGTTTATTAACGAATTTTCCATCAGTATACAGTTAATCTATACATATAAATAAAATCGGAGTGTCTGTTTATAATATTGAAATAACCATTTTTTTCTACATGCATATATTATATAAATATATAATGCATATGAATTAAAATAACATTTTTACCATTTTTGTCTGTCTGTCTTATAGTTCCGGTTAATATCTGAAATGGCTGGACCTATTTTGATGGGACTTTTTTTGAAGATAGCTAATGTAATAAGGAGTAACTTAAGCTACTTTTATTTTTAAAAACCTATTATTAGATTTTTTTAAATAAAAGTTTAAGTTACTCGCTTTAGAAAAATAAAGTTAAAATCCACGCGGCCGCAGTCGCGAGTTCAGTTAATTAGAAATATAAATTGGGACATAATTATGACAAACATTAATATTATCATATTAATGTTGACGCAGTACTTCTCGTCGAGCGCGGCGGGCGTGGTGCGATGCCGGCGGCCACGAGCCAGCGACTTGCACGACTCTGAAGAGCCACGTCTAGTACACTCACACGTTCGTATCTTTTATTTCTTTTTTTCAATAAAAACTATGACTTCTTAACCACTATTCATTATACTTATCATAATAATTAAGCATGCCCTTAATTGTTATGGTAAGTATAATGAATAATAGTTTTTTTATTAACTTTGCTTACTTTTGGCTATCTAAAAATTTGCTATAGAATTTAATTTATTGTTTTATTTTACTTGCACTGCACTAACATTAAATGGATATATAGAAAAAAAAATATTGAAAATAAATCATAAAAGAAAAGAGATTGAAAGTACAAAGGGCAGTCTTGTCGCTAATACATTCTTTTCCATACAACCTTTGTCTTTTAATGATTAAGCAGTGAACTTATAGTGTATCTTAGTCCTGTGGGATGAGAACGCATGTACGTAGCGCTGTTTGTGTATATAGAATATGAAATTCATAGGTTTATATCCGGCTCGAAGGCCCATAAAAATGTGGGCTACATTTCCGTGATATTGATTGATTCGTGCTAATGCTTAATGAGTGGTGTCGTTAAATAAAACCTTCTGCATTTAACGCTACGTAAACACAGATTTTATGGGTAGTGAAATTATTTATTCATGTAGGTTTATTACAGATTCTTATGATATGTCAAATCTACCGTCAGTTCGGAGTGCTTTCGAGGTAAGAAAAACTGACAAGAAACTCAGCTTTTATCCTTTTCAAATGATCTTGTACATTAGAGAAATACAGATTTTTAAAATCAATTAGAAAGAACATCGTAACCTGCAACATGCTATTTCATTTTTGTCAAAAGGATACAATCTAATCAGTAGGCGTGACCATAAAAGACCAGTCCCCACCAGCAGCCGTTCACGAGTATTGCACATAAATGTATTGTATTTTAAGGACGAGGACATAATAGACGAGATTGAGGTGAGCAGCAACCGGCGTATGCGCTTGGTGAACATGAGGCCGTGGTCGCTGTACTTCCGTAACAACTTGTTCGAGAGCCGTTTCGCGCAGCTCGACACCGGCACCTTCAAATCCACCGTCATGTGCTGCCTCGTGCTGTGGCTGTTCATCGTCGCCACGCAAACCGTCATGCACTACAAGTGAGTCACCACCTACCTGTATATAATATATATATATATACGTATAATGTATATTAAACACGAAAGTTTAAAATATATATATATATATATATATATTAGGTCCTATATATAAATTGGCATTTTGTCGTACTGGCCACCTTGATCTCAAATATCTCTTCTTTGGTTAGGAATTTATACAGCTATTTACGCATTTGTTTCTTGAAAACCGTAATCCATATGTTTTTTCCATCTTTAGTTTTTTCTTTGCGTCACTCAGTTTACAAAATGGAAAACGTAAAATATCACATTATAGCACCAGTGCTGCAGATGGCTCGAAGGATTATTGATGTTGATGTTGATGATGATGTTTTGGTTCCAACGTTCTCGTTCTTGGATATTTTGACCTGCAAAACAATCGCCGCAGGCGGCCAGAGTCCAAGGTTGATAATGAAGAATTGAAGGCTATTGTGGAAGCGAATCCATCGCAAACCACGTCCGAATTAGATGCAGGCTGCGGTGTTAGTGATAAAATTCTTTTAATCCGCTTCATGGATTGAGCGGAGCAAATCCCCAAACACGCGTAGACTGCTGCGTTACATTAGTTAACCGGTATATTAATAAAGGGATTTTAAATCGAATCATTACCTGTGATGAAAAGTGGATCTTGTACGATAATCGGAAGCGCTCATCGCAATGACTCAACCCTGATGAACCAGCCAAATCCTACCCCAAGCAAAAATTTACTCAAAAAAGTTGCTTGTAAACGTGGCTTTGGTGGACCAGTGCCGGTGTTGTTCACTTCATCTTTCTTAAATCTGGTCTCACGATTACGGCAGATGTGTATTGTCAGTAATTGCAAACCACGATAAAAAAGCTAGCTGCTAAACCGAGGCTGGTCAATCGCCATAGGCCACTGCTGCTTCAGGACAACGCTAGACCACACACTGCACAACTGACAGTTACCAAATCTTCAATTGGAATGTCTGAGACATTCACCGTACTCCCCGGATATTGCTCCAACACTTTACCATTTTTTTCAAAATTTGTATAACTTCTTGCAATGGAAAAAATTCACCTCCGTTGGGGCAGTCCAAAGCGCCTTCAAAGATTTTATTGATTCCCGTCCGAATGGTTATTTTAGTAAAGGGATCAATGCACCACCTATGAGATGGCAAAAGTGCATAGATAGCAATGGGGCATACTTTGATTAAATAAATATAGTATATTTTGAAAAAATCGATGTTACTCCATTACAAAACGCCAATTTCAAATGTTAGGACCTAAAGTATTTAAACATTTGTATTTAGGAGTGTGATTGTTTGTATTCCTCTGGGTGTTTCCTATGTAGGTAAATTACATATGTATGTATGTATTTACAGAAAATATATTTAAGTATTTATATCAAAAGTATAGTACCCTGCTTAGCCTTGTACTATATGGTACTGTGTGAATTATCCAGGATATTATTATTATTTAAATAAATTTATTTAATAGGTACTTCTCGGATATTATTCTGTATAAATTTCATAATTTTATTATCAGCATTTGCTGAAAACTAAACAAACTAAAAAAACTAAAAAGAACAATTTTGTTCTTTTTAGTTGTAACACTCTTTACCAGAAGGAACGATGTTACTTATATTAATTATAAGCAACTTAAAAGAAAGTGTGTCGTAAACATACATCACGATTATAAAAGAAATAAATGATATTTTATTAAATAGTTTTGTATCCACAGTTGCACAACACTAATGGTGCTGCTAGCGGTGATGACTATTCCGCTGTTGATGTCATTCTTGATGGTGATGGCTGAAGAGTTCCCTTCTGTGTTTCCACATTTGAAAGTCGTGTCCTCACGTCTCAGCAATAGTAGAGTACGACGAGATATACACATCTGCTGTTTCGTCACAATCATGTCAATATCCAGGTTAGTAATATTAGCATGCGAAGGAGATTCTTAATAATGTGGACCCCATTAATAATATAACATGTCAGGTTGACCTCCACGCAGTTCCCCATGGAAACCATCCTGATAAATTCCTGGGGAATTTGTGACGTTGAGATAACTAACCTGATCTCATATTAATCTTATCATCCTTCACTGGTGCACGCTAACCTAAACCGGTAGCTTAGTGGGATGCACCATTCAGTTATGATCCATTAAAAAATTGTAGAGCATGCTACATCATTATGTGAATGAGAAAGTAGCTACGGTCAAAAACAATAGCTCGAAAAATATATATATTCTGTTTTTAATCTCATATTAATAATTATTATATTATTTTTATATACATATTTTGAATATGTTAGACATATCTATACACAGATGCTATTTCAATGAAAGATTTACTGGTATGTCTTGTTTGTCATCCACATTTAACTGAGGTATCTAACCTAACTTATCGGGATAGAGATTAAAAAAATATATAGAAATTTACATTATGATTTACATTACAAACCCCCTAGCCTCTAATAAAGCAATACTTTTCCAGCACCACAAAGCTCTACGTGTGTCCGTGGTCGTTCAATCATAACACGACACAATTTAACACGTCACAAATAAATGAGACGCAATCGTCGAACAATGTAGAGGGAGAATGCTACCGGCCCGAGTACGTGGTCCTCACCTGGGTGCTGTGTCTGGTGGCCCTGACCTCTATATTGAAGCTGTACTACCTCATCAAGACCTGGCTAGCCATCATCAACGTCGCCATGTACACCGTCTTGCTGTTGATCTACTATGACTTCAATTATAGCACCAACAGTGGGTCTGAGTGAGTATTATTCTTTTTTAGACGATTTTCTACGTGATTCATTATACACATGATGATCCAAAAAATATGTTTATATATAGCCGAGGTAAACATTGTAAAAAGTGGAAATAGGTGACACTGGGGTCAGTTACACCTATTTCGATGCCATGCAGTAGCTTTATAAGCTGTTTCGGTTAAAGGGTGTTATGTAATGACAGTGATACTGGACATGGAACACAGTTACCTAGAAATAATAATTATAGAATAGAATAGAATAGAAAATCATTTATTCAAATAAACTTAATCTAAGCACTTTTGAATAGTCATAACAATTTGTTTTTTATCTACCACTCGTTCGGAAAGCTGTCTTATCACAAGAAGAACGAGCAAGAAACTTGTGTGTTGCTCTTTTAAATAATCCTTGTAAGTTTACATTTACAAGTCGAAACGTGTGAATACAAACTACCAACAAGCACTAATTTTTTGGCATTATATTTAATAATGCCTAGTAAGACAAATCCAATATTGTCTACTAAGCACTGGACATGTATTACTATTACAATGAACTCAAGTGTAATCCATCCGTACATTATAATTAAATGAAATAAAAGAACCCATAGTAAATACTTTCCAACAGATTAAAATACTACGTGCAAATGTTGATCCTGATGATGATGTTCCTGGTTGTGGTGGTGTACCACGCGCGACTCATCGAGGTCACCTCCCGGCTCGACTTCCTCTGGAAGCTGCAGGCGGAGACGGATCTCGTCAATATGAAGGACACGCAGCGCGTCAACCGCCATCTGCTGACGCACATATTGCCCGATCACGTGGTGAATCATTTCCTAAGCAAAGACAGATGTCCGGACGTAAGTTACTTTATTTAAAAACTTGCTTTTCGCCCGCGGCTTTACCCGCGTGGACATAGTATATATTGGTTATCGCGCGTTTAAAGATCCATACTCAGTAGTGGAACGTTATATAGATATCCTAAACCTTCCTTTTTTCTATTCTGTCTATTAAATAAAAAAGGACCCAAAATCCGCATAGTTTATTTAAGATCAAAACATACAAATATCTTCTTCTATATCTTCTACATACATATGTAATAGACCTACTATTACATATGTAGGAGATATTTTAACCAGAAATTGAAGCCGTTACATAATACAACAAATAATGTTGGATTGTTGAACTAAAAAATAAGTTTGTTTTTAGTAACAAAACGAAATAATATCGCAGCTTATTTTTAATACAGCGACATCGTGTACTTATCTATACATCTATACATATAAATAAAATTGGAGTGTCTGTTTGTAATTTTGAAATAACCGTCTTATACTACATGCATATGAATATAAATACAAAACATACACTAAAATACACTTTTTAAAATTTTTGTCGGTCGGTCTGTCTGTCTGTTTTTTCCGGCTAATATCTGAAATGGCTAGACCGATTTTAACGGCAGTTTTATTGGCAGGTAGCTGATGTAATAAGGAGTAACTTAGGCTACTTATTATTTTTTATTTTATTTAATTAACACTATATAAACTTACAGCTAACTGCCAACACGTTTATATTTTAAAACTATTTATACATGTAATGATGTTGACTTTCGAACAACTATTCTGTTGTTATGTTTTAGAAATTATGTCAAAATATAATTAGTATAGCCCTGGTTTTTCTATAATAAATCAATATTGTACCCAGGAACTGTACTCCCAATGGCGGGACGAGGTGGGCGTGATGTTCGCCGGTATACCGAACTTCCACGAGTTCTACTCGGAGGAGAAGGCGGTCGACTGCATGCGGCTGCTGAACGAAATCATTTGTAATGTACCAACAGACACCACACATTTTTTTTTATATATAAAACTGGATTGGCAACCCAGCTGACGACCCATCTAAAGGACAAAAATCTTGAAAAAGGAGCCATTTTGGTTATAATGGCTCCTTTTTTGAGATTTTTTCGTATTCTAGTCAGTGTGGTAATATTTTAGTACCACAGATAAAATAATATTACCTAGTAGTACGAAGCTCAGTCGTGGAATAAAAATTGTTTGTTGTAACAATACAAAGTTATAGTTTACTGCCGTAGACTTTTTAAAATGATCATTACGAATTTGTAATGTCTTTATATGTTAACATTAATGGATTTATTTTAGGTCTTTGTCGTTCTTTTTTGTTGTAAAAAAACAACTGAAAAAAAATAACAATATTTGTTATTTTTTAATCAATTAGTTTTGTTTGAGTATTTTGATAGTTAGACCACCCAGGTATAACCGTTTAGCACACCGCTTTATATCCAATGATCGCGGGTTCGATTCCTCACACAGTACAAACATTGTATTCACGGAAATGCTTGTAGTCTGGGTGTTGGATGTATATTATGTATGCATTTACACTGATACAACTGATATAAATTCTAATATAAAAAAAACTGTACCTATATAAGAATTTATATGAATTGAATATTAAAAATAATATTTAAGTATTTATATCAGTTATCTAGTACCTACCCATAACACAAACTCTGCTAAGCTTGGCACTAGAAGGCGCTGTGTGAATATTTTTATTTATTTATTTTTATTTAAATAACTTTAATGCACGTCATACACAGGTAAAAAGTACATATGGCGGACTTAACACCTAATGGCATTTTCTACCAGTCAACCATGAGTTGTGCAGAGATAAGTTGTTGGCGGTGTAGACAATATTATAATATTTTATAGAATATACATGAATAAATATATATATATACACATGTAAATACATATATATTCCTACAAATATACACAAAAATACACCATACACATAAATATATGACCAATAATCTGACAATGAAATAGTGATTACAGCCGACAGTGTAAGCATATTACAATAGATACAAATATATATATATATGATTCGCCTTGTAGTAAAAATTAAGAAACTTAATGCTAAAGAGAAAAATATATAAAAGATAATATATGATAGTATACAAAATTATATGTTAAGATAATGTTTCCGCAATTTTCGCTTGAAAGAAATTTTACTCGCAGCAGTCCTGATGTCAAGGAGTAAGTCGTTCCAAAGTACGATAGCCTGAACGGCGAAAGAACGATGGACAAAACCGGACAAATGTGCCGGGACATGAAGTAGAAATCTTCTAGTTGTGCGAAGGGAGCGATTGGTGTTATCCCCATGGAAGTGAAATTTACTACTAATATATTCAGGACAATTAGGATCGTATAGAATAGAATAGAGGGTACATAGCATACGTACATTTCTGCGATAGCGGAGAGGAAGCCATTTAAGCTGTGAACGGAAAGATGAAATATGATCAAACTTGCGCAAATTGAAAATAAAGCGAATGGAGTTGTTGAGAAGACGATCCAATTTGTTTAAAAGGTCTACGTTCATGTCAGAACAGCACACATCAGCATAATCCAGCGTGGGGAGCACTAAAGATTGGACGAGGAGAATTTTTGTTATCTATGGTCATACATACTCGTATCTAATGATATTCTTGTTCATTTCAGTGGATTTCGATAAACTGTTGATGCAATCTCGCTTCAAGAGCATCGAGAAGATCAAAACTGTTGGCGCGACGTACATGGCTGCCTCCGGACTCAATCCTAAACATAAGGTAATAAACAAAATTAAATGTTTTATATAGAATATGAATGGATAACCTTCGTCTTTGGGAATGGTAATGCACGAGGAATCTATGTATATAATCGATAGTTATCATCAGGATAAGGCCACGGTTAGGTAAAGTGCAGCGCTGTAATTGTTTATATTGGTCTGAATATCCTCTATACATATTACAGCAGTTTTGTAGCACCCATAACACAAGCTCTGCTTAGCTCAGTACATGTGAATTGTTCAGGGTTATTATTATTATTAATATTTTCAGATCGACCATCAGATTCTTGATATTTTTCATAAAAATATGTTTCAGAGCGGCGATGATGACTGCAAACACTTGTGCGCGTTGGTTGACTATGCGTTCGCCATTCGTGAGGCGCTCGAAGATATCAACAAACACAGCTTCAATAAATTTCGACTTAGAGTTGGTAAGTTATTCGTAAATTAGTACTTTGTAGTACAAAGATGTAGAAAATTTCACTAATTACTATGAAAGAAGGATGCTCTAAATAACAATTTCACCAGGAATAAGTTGTGGTCCACTGGTGGGCGGAGTGATCGGCGCTCGTAAGCCGGTGTACGACATCTGGGGGAATACGGTGAACGAGGCGTCCCGCATGGAAACTACCGGACAAATGGACCGCATACAAGTCACCAAATACACCAAGCAGGTCAGTTATATAAAAAAAAACCCTAAAGATTAATGACAGAATTATTAACCTTTAGGGTTTTTTTTATCTGTAAACATTCGCGTTCTCTGGTAATTTGAAGCGATATTTATGGCGCTTAGTGTATACATCGCTGAAGTGTATAATTTGGTGATCTTTTTTCTCGTTACATCAAGGGTAGAGCCAAATCTCAACGGAGGTCGAGAAGTACGGATTTTAGCAAATAAAGCATTTTTTTTTGCAAAATACAGTGTTATGAGAATACGAACTGGATTAAATAAAATAAAACATATATTGTGAACCGGGATAGACTTTATACAAAATAGCGTGCTTACTGCGTGAGTACCTTACCTATTTACAGTTACGATTGAAGGCTAAGATGAGGCAGTGAAATAACAGGTTAAGAGGCATAACACCTTAGTCGTACAGTATAACAACGCATGAGCGGTACCATGTCATATGATAACGTGACATACATATTGCTCATATAGGCGACGGCTGTTACCATCAAGTAGCTCATTTCTACTCCAATTATATAAAATAATAGCTCCTGAAGCGTCGCGGCTACTACACCTTAGTCTTCCAGGATAACAAGACAACACAGAAGCTCTATCAAGGTCACATGATGCCGTGACGTACGTATTGCTTGTTGTTCTCGTACGCGACAGTTATCACCTATCATTAGAGGGTCGCCAGCTTAGTTTGTACTACAATTATTTATTTAACCTTTAATGTACAAATATAAAATATACATATACAACTCAACACCTAACGGCGTACTCTACCAGTCAACCATAAGGCATACTGAGAAGTTTGAACAAGTTGTTAGATACATTTTTACGTGGTAATTATATAAAGCAACAGCTGCTGGAGCGTTGCGGTTCCTACACCTTAGTCCTTCAGAAGAACAACGCATAAGCTCTATTAGGGCCGCCACATGATACCATGACATACGTATTGCTGGTTGCCTATCATTAGTGGGTCGTCTGCTTGGTTTCTACTTCATTGATTGTTTGATGTAAAACAATAGCTGCTGGAGCGTCGCGGCTACAGCCTGAAGTCGCGCGGGCTGGTGGAGGTGAAGGGCAAGGGCCGCATGGAGACGTGGTGGGTAAGCGAGCGCACTACTACGACGTCGGATATGCAGCCGTTGGCCGTGTTCGAGCCTCTGCCCGAGCCTGCGCCGCCTCCCGCGCCCGCAGCCCCGCCGCGCTCGCTCGCCGCCATCGTGTACACCATGCTGCAGGCCAGAAAGCGGATCTACACGCACCCGCTCGACTCCGCCGCACTGCGTGAGTATCCCCACACAACGAAAAAGAAGATGCATGACAATACTACACGTTACACATACTCCGATATATGTGCCAGTTCGCGCCAGTCAGTCATATTTTGTATTACGCTTGAACAAAGTCACATTAATTTCGTTTAAATAGATACAAATATGATTTTTAATTATTAATGTTTCTTAAGGACTGTATATATTTTATATTATAATTTTAGTTTTAAGAGAAACTACGGTCGCTGATGGTAAAAGACATATATTTCAAATTGACAGTAAAAATGGAACAAAACATAAAATATTTAAAATGTATATATAAAAAAATATAATAAAAGTCTAAAAAGGTGCGTCGTGCACATGCTCCCGTTTTAGCAAATATGAACTAGCTGAGTACGCTAGATATATTACCTTTTTATTCATCTGATTAATGTCAATTCTCTCTTAGATTTGTACACTTGTATGAGTATGTAATATTATCTTCTGTCTAATCTATCTATGATACTTACTAGTAAACCAATCCTGACCTCATACGAGTTAATTAATTGTAGGGATCTTAAGACTAATGTATACAATAACTCGTGTTCTTGCTTGATGTTGTACAAATCTGGCATAATCGAAGATCAGACATAATAACACAATAAATAACATTGAGAGAACCGTGGCTTTCCTAATCCGAAGCGCGCGATTTAGCGCTGGACAGCCAACATGCCCAATCGGGAGTGATTGCATTACTACTTCTTGTGTTCACTCTTTCAAGCATGATTTCGCGTATGCGTTAAGTCATTTCATTGTTTTTTTTATTTTATATTTTATTCCACACTTTATTTTCCAAAGACGCGTTTAAAATGTATCAATAACTCTATAATTATGTCTTTGACACATAGTCATAGATCCGCCATTTTTATTGATAATTAATTATTAGTTACAAAACGGTGCTAAAGCACGCACGACTGAAGGACGCGGGCGGCTGCCTGTCTCATTCTCTTTGCCTACATTTTTTCTTGCGTGAAATCGGATTCGAGCGTGAAAAGCATACATGTAAAGGCAGCTATTAAATAATTGTGATGTTGCACGTGGCAGCGGGCCGTGCAGGTGCTGGAGGTGGAGCTCCGGCGGCGGGCCCGCGGCGCCGCGCCCACACGGACCTGCGCCGCGCGCGCACCAGACACGCACGGTACGTGCCCATCAGTTGTTTTGCATATTCCAGCCAGAACCTAATTTCGTCAATCAATTCTTCTCTGCCTAAAACTTAAAACGGTTAAGATAACGAATGAAGCCTAGTGAAAGTCAGCTACGGGTCCAAGAGTGGGTTAACGAGAAGGACCTTCGTTCGTCTATCAGTTTGTTTGCTACTCTCTAAAACGGCTGAACCTTTGACGGGACCTTTACTCATATATATAAGGACTATTTTTATTCAGGGTTTTAGGCTATTGTCACGTGCTTAGACTTGTAGCACTGCGATCTACATAGATCTATTGTGCTCTCCCTTTTTCAAAGTTTTAAACCCGTCAGGAACTAGGGGTAAGTAGTAGACTTATATAAATAGAAGAGATATTTGGACTGTGTTTGGTTGGTCCGTCAGCGAGGCGGACGTGGAGCTGGGCATGCGTCCGCACGCGAGCAGCATGGTGGTGCGGCGGCCGCGCGCGCTGGCAGCCGTCACGGCCAGCCTGTCCGCGCCGCACACGCCCACCGCCGCGCACGCCGCGCACGCCGCGCCCGCACCCTCCGCCGCCACCGCCGGGACCCCTGCCACCCCCGCAACCCCCGCCCCCGCCGCGACAACCGACCCGCCGCCCAAACTCGGCATAGGTAAGTATCGACTTCATTTCAGGGCGCCATTGCTTATATAGCAGTTTTACACACCGCTTCGACCTTAAAGTTGTATCCATTAAACTTCAGCCGATCAAGGTTTGGAGTGTCTGCACTCGCCAAAAAAAGGAAACCGCTTCTGTCTATGGGTAATTTGTTTATTTATTGGCTGTATTATATACCAATAGCTACGTGGATAAGAAACAGTTAGTCAATTATTCCTCCTGGAAAACATCCTAATAAATTCCAGCTGATATTGCCACGACGCCCTAACTAGCCTGACCTTATGTTCATTTTATTAACCTTGAATAAACTGTAAGCTAAATAAAATTAAGAATAAAATTACCGCTATGCCTACGGAATAGCGGTAATTTTAATGTTTTTTTTTATATTTTTTTAATTATATCCTAAGAAATTTAATTTTTGCTATTGAATAATCCCTTCCATACACTTGACATACACGTCGACTCCCCACTACTTAATGGTATATATTTTTATATGTCATTATGTTATTCGGACACTAATAACAAAATTTAAAATTGACACTTCCTTTGTTCTCTGGTTTCTTTTCCTGGTAGTCTTTTTCTGTACAATACACATATTTTTCCATCATTGCTACTTTATCGCCCATAGTCTGTTGAACTTTTTAATGTTTTATTCCCCTAAAGCTAATTATATCTTTAATATTTCAGGAGCTAGATTAAAAGCTGCCAGCTTTTCTTACCGTACGAGACCACAAAGGGATCGTTCGCCAAAGATGCAGGAACAACCCAACGGGGGCTCCGGGGCATCACTAGCCAACGGCACGCCCGGCTCTTTCCGCTTCCGATCCGTCACCACGGCCTCTTTCTTGCGCGCCCGAAAAGACCAAAAGAAACTGAAAGAACCAGAAGATCACAATGAGAACAGAGAGATTGTAACTACTAGAATGTAAAATAGGTAAGACATTTTCTGTTTGATAGAACTTTTGTATCTATAAACTATGTAGCTATTTGTAACCGATTTTGGCAAAGCAAAGAAGGCTTACGATTTTAATGGGTATGTTATGTATGCTCATCTATTCCCTCAGACTTCTGAAATATTATTCATAATTTGACAAATGTTATATCGTTAGAAGCATTTTGATCATTCGCCAGTCATTGGTGTAATATGACGTTTTCTGGAGGACAAAATTGTGGATTAAAAATATATTTTAAGTGTCACCTACCTCGCTAACCAGAGAACAATCTGTCTTGCCTAATATGTGATGATATTCGTATATATTTAACATGTTTATATGAAATATATTTTCGTCCCATTACAGGAGGCTCAATATGACTAACACCATGCCACAGGAGAAAATGGAGAACATAGACTTGAGAGATTTTAATTTCCCCAACATGGGATATGTTATGTAAATATTTATTACCAGAGCTCGGTAGAACTAATGACATATTTTATACTATTTTGTAGTATTATATATTATTTATGAATTTGTAAAAACAAATATTAAGTAAATCTTATTTTCTGTGTAACTCTACAACAAATTAGTAGATGTAAGTTTTCAAGCTTAGTATTAAACGCCTCGTCCCTCTCCTTATTCAGGCACTGGAAACGTGTCTTTAACTTTTTATAGATATAGAATATATTTATTTTTTATAGATATTATTTAATGTATTCTTTCCATTTTCGTTTTGTGATGTTACAAATCGAACGGGGTCGGTTCGCATAAGACTATCGTCCGGCTGAACCGAATATGTGACCATGCTAATTGTATAATGCAAATCAACAGTGATTCTCTGCCAAAATAATTGTTCACTGTAAACGTCTTAATTAGGTTACAGTTAAGGGTTATATTTAAAAAATACAATACTTTTTCCACTATAGGTGCTTTTGCTGTTGTATAGATTTCTATTATATAGATGCAAACATTATTATTTCGTAATGTTTTCGATGTACCTACTTTATTTTATATGTAAATAATTACTATAAGTAGTTCCGTGTTCTGTATATATTTAAATCATTTTTATAGTTTTATTATTTAATTAATGAACACAAATCAACGTATTAAGTACTTATAAATGAAAGAAATTATTATTAATTTTATTCTAAGCACAGATGTCGCATTTATGATTTTAATGTAATGTTTTATATTAAGTATATATAGTTATTTATGTGTCAAAATTAATATAAACATAAGGGGATGAAAAGAAAACGCTACGAGTCTTCCAAGTGAAGGCGTATTTGTAAATATTTGTAATGTTGTACAATTCGAGTTTCATAGGTATTTTTAGACGATATATGGAACTTGTTGGAGCTGAGGTTGGGACCAAACTGATTGTAATGCATGGTGATAGCGCTGGAACAGTTCTTACTAGTTCCTTATATCCCTTATTTAATAATATCTAATATTTTATTTATGAATCATTATTGTTCTTTGGGTATTAGAATAGTATTAGGTAGGTAATGTATTAAATAAAAAAATAACATCTTGTTATTCACGTTCCTTCCAGATTCTAGTATATTTGTTTTATTTATTACAGGTGCCAAAGAGTTTTTTAAGTAGGTACGTACAGAGCAAACGAATACCTATATTGTGTAAGACGCGTAAGTGTTATTTCGAGTATTCATACTTAAATTATTTTAGGCTATATAGTATCGTGAATGGACAAGATAATTTTTATAAAACAACCTACCTACTAAGCTAGAAATTGCTATGAATTGCATTTCTATGATAATATTATATTAAATTAATTGTTTCCAAAATCTTCATAAGAATTTGAAATATATATTTTGTAATATAAAATATTTATATTAACAATCGGTAAATACTTAACATAGATTGTACTTCCAACCATTTTCTATTTAGGCTGTAGGAGCTGCGTAATGTAGTCAAGTATACGGGGTACCAAAGATACCTAGATCTCAACTATTACTGTACGGAAACACCTCGAATTTAGTGTCATATCTTATATTGTACATATTAATGTTTATGCTCTGATATTTTCATGTTTGTTGATTACGTATTTTCTAATTTAACTATTCCTTAGATATTTATGCTTCAATAAGTTGTTTTCAGTCAATAATGTGCCATTTATCTGACGAGAAACGTCGTTAGATGTTACTTATTTATTATACTGGATTGCGTTATGAATATTTTAGTATTATAGAACTACTGTGAGAAAATAATTACTAGATACATAATGGAAATACGCAATGGAAGTACTCGATAATAATGGATGAAGTTCTGATATTTAATATATGTATATACTGGATTCTTATCGTTAATAAAACATGACAATTATTAGTTCTAAGAACGATTGCAACGTTTAATTACAGAACTTGATATTTAGGTATTTAGATTCTATTCATTATTTCTTGTTGCTGAAGATGTTTCGAAAACCCTGCGAATAAATATCTTTGTATATTTTATGCATTATAAACATATTATGTTGCCAGAACGAAAAATATATGGTAATAAATAAAAGATCGTATTTAATTGTTGTATTATTTTATTATTCATTTCTAAATATCAATACTAAAATGAACATAAATGTCGGTATTTTCACATAATTTATATTTGTATATAATTTATATTCTAACCTTTGGAATAAGTCACATCCTTAGTTTCAGAGGATATATAATTTTTGTCAGTGGACATAACCTTTCCTTCGACTAATATAATAAAGGTTGATTCACTTATAAAGTTATGCAATTTTAATTAATGACTGCACTTAAAATCACACCGTTGTTCACAAAAACTTCTTACAAACCCATTTTAACAATTATAATGTATTGTCACATTACAAAAATTAAGTATATTAATAGCTCGAAAGAAAATAATAAAACAAATATCTAATCTAATATACTTTTAGTTTAAAATTTCATATTAAACTAAAAGTATATCAAGTAAGAGAAAACCTCTCTATAAAAGATATATAAAAAATATATTTAAAAAATTCTTTCACATGTAGAAAATAGTAAGAAATGGGCAACATACTTCAATAGCTAAAACAGATTTATAATAATATCTGACATTTTAATGAAAAAATGTGGTCACAGGCACTTTATCACCCGTCAGGTTTGAGGGTAACTCGGTATTATTTGTGAATGTTATATTGGACCTTCTTTTTAACCAATCGCATATATATATATATATAATATATTCGATTATATATATTTTAAAATAAAAAAACACGGGTGTACTGTGTTTATTTTTCAAAAATCATATACAAGCAACACGGATATTTGACAGAATTGAAAATTATTTAATGACATGACTACGATTTTCTGACAGAGAGCCGTCAAAATTATGTGATACGTAGTTATCGACTAATAATAATGTTCCGAATTTTGCCTTATGATGTATTTAGGAAACATATATTAAATGGATTAATTTCCTAAGACATGTGCAATACATGTAATTTTTAGGCATGTCACGAAATTTCAATATGAATTTATCTTTATTGCTCGCTTGAGATGACGAAACAATATTATTGCAATAATACTTGCGAGTAGTCTCATTATAAACAGTCTGTTTTGAATCTTATATTATTGTACCTATATTCCAAACTTATTTATTCACATTGCATTCAAATGACGTATTGAAAAAAAAATACGTCCAACAACTAGTCTTACCAAATTTAATTAAACATCAATTTGAAATAATACATTGACGTTTTCAATTTTAATAAATAAATAGCAAATATATAAGATTGTGACCCACAAAAACACTTCAGTCAGGATAAAATTAATATTCGAGAAATACTGGAATTAAACTTATCGATCGGTAATAATTAACAAAAAAAAAACGGTAGATAGTTGCCGAAGATATCACAATGCAAACAAAAGATCATTGAAATGAATGGCTTCCATTTTTAAATTCAATTAATTCATCGATAATTCATCAAAGTCCCTGTTTTTAAAGAATTTATCATAGCGATATTTTGAAAATATAAATACATTTTTTTTTATAGTATTTCTACGAATTAACATAAATATGTGTTAGTCCGTTTCAAATGGTATAAATATAATGTTATATCGAGCTCTTCTATCCTTGTACAATTTAAAAAGCAACCATTCGGAATGTCTGAATTACCTATTATATTAATTAAGTTAAAAATTAGTAATTTATTTATTTGGCTATTATATTTCATTACATTATTAAAATACAGCATAACTATTTTAAAATACTATGTGGCACTATGTGATGTCAGCTCAAATATCGTACTTAACAATAAACTGAATAATTACTAATAAGTTTGAAAATAGACTTTAGAGTAAAACCTCTTAAGTCGATTTCTTGCTTTTTATAATTTCCGAGTGCATACAATTTATTTTGTTAGAGTGCGATATATAGAATATGTATACACGCTATCGACTTGCATATACAGAATGAGCAATTAAGATAGATCTACAGATACTATAGACGTACAGACAAGTCTTGTAGGCTTGGTGCCATTGAATCCAAGTCAAATAGGAACATAAACGAATAAATAATGTATACAGGATTGTACGTGCAAGTATCATGCATTATTTCGAAGCGTCAACAGCTTCACATTCATGCAATATGTCATTAAAATCAATTTGTTTATATTTTAATAGTAATATTTAATATTTTAGCACTAATATACATTTGTTTATATGTTGTCACAGATAATACTCTCTAGACTCTACAGCAACAATTAACACAAACAAAATCGATAAAATAAATGTTTACCAAGCGGCTCGAGTACTAGGAGTACTCCAGCCGCTAGTCCAGTCGATAGCGCATATATATGCATTTACATCACAACAAATAAGAAAATAAATAATCGCAACAATCTAAACATTTAAATATTAGTTGTCTAGCGTTTCAACGGCATAAATCTTTACCAGAGGGTAAAAAGTGTGTGTTGAAATATAAAACTGATATAATTTAGGTACATTTGTATTGAAGCAGCCATGATTAGTCTTATATCAAACCGTTTTGTATAATTTCTGACTTGGCAAATATTATACAAAACCAACAAACAAAACCCTTAATTTCTCAAGTTTCACAGATTAAATCCGTCAGAACTTAAGAAATGCTTGTATTCTACAAAACTGTATATATTCAATAATTACTCGCTTTTCTTTTATTTCTAGAAACATATCATTTCAATTTACCCATATTGCGTTGATTTATAACACATCATATATTATTTACAGATTAAAAATATTCATAATACCCATACCACAATGCCTCCACACAGAAATTACTCATTTAAAACACACACAAAATAATCACTTACTCATTGGTCCTTCGAGTCGGATTAAATTAAATACAGAGTTGAACCTGATTCAAGACTTAGATAAGAAAAAAAAAACATCTGCGTGGACACATTTATTACCATTGTACATTTACCCTATTATGAGTGTTTATTATGATATTTCATATTAGAACTAAACATCCTTTTACAAAGGATCTGTAAAATTAACTTATTAATTAAAATTAATGTGTGACGTCATGTTTATTAATTCACTATAGCCACATGGATTGTACACAAATAATACAAAAACAAAATACATTATCACAAGACTGATAGTCGTGATAAACCCATTCAACTAACACACGTTTCACTATACTGTAACAATTCGTAACAGAAAGGATAAAACTATAAAAATAGCTAGATAATATAAGCAATATCATTAATAAATATCCCGTACTGATTATCATTGTACTTGTTTTTTAGATTTAAGAAATTTAAATTCTAGTATCATAGCATAACTCACAGTGATAACTAAATATATATATACTAATTTTAAATTACAACGAAACTGCATAATTTTATAGGTAAAATTTATAATAAACAATTGAATCATTTTGACCTGTCTGTTACGTACTCGTCTTTATGTATGTTACAAGTATGGACTTGATTTTAAAATAAATTGTATAATATCACAAATTGTACTTGTGAAATAAATAGGTAAAAAAATAAACTACATCAACTAAATATGTCGTTCTGCAAGAACAGAAAAACGTAAATTTTATTTATAATAATATTGATGCGAAATCGAGAAGAAAACTGGTTTCTGTTACTCTCTTTTATATAAAACATAAATATATAACATTTTAATGTCTTAGGTTTTAAATTTGTGAGCATGATTACCAAACTTATTTATTGTAATTTTGTATTATTCTTTTCTTGTCCAAGTCATTCAGATATTTATACACTATCAGGTAGAATACCAAGTTTAACAGCAACTTGGGTATAACTGACTCATACAAAACATGAACTAATACCTACATGGTATATCACTTTGAAATCACTATTAACTTATTAAATATACTAACATATATACGACTTGATCTGGGCAAGACTTACATTGCTTTATAATTTATATTTTTTATACAATATCAATATGGCACCAATTTTTGTAGCTGCATGATTATTGGTTGTTGTGAATAATTTAGATCAATTAATTGTGATCATGAACCATCGCCGTTTGGAGCACTTCTGTCCATCTGTGAAAAAAAACAACCTATTATTCTATACTGACCTATACTAATTTCAAAAACGAATTACTGCCTTTGTATACAACATTACCGGACGATAGGGGGCGAGTGCAAATCCGCGGAAGGACTTATGGAGCGGCTGAAGGCCAACTTCCGCCTGACGGATACGACTTTAGTCTGAGGGCACTGCTAGGGGGTTCGAACTTCGGGTCGGGCCGTCGTAATTTCGATCCCCGTTTGAATTGGACGGGGGATTGATCGGAGGGGATGAAGAAGTGTGTGGTGCTTCATAGGCGACGGTTACCACTTACCATTGTACCTTGATACCAAACTGCTGTACCAAATTGACAAAAAAATAAATTAGCTAATATTACTGATATTTTACTTATAAAAACTTATTTCAACTTCTATGTAGTATGCCTCTACTGTTTTAAATAAATTAACATATTTGGTAATACATTTTTCTAATTAAATCTATCAATTACCTTGATCACGTAGTAAACACACTGTGTCATCTTCAGTTAGATGTGAGTTTCTTTTAATGGTTGAATATTATTGATCATATGTTTATTACATGTACATCGGCTAACGACTAAAAATTACCTGTTGTATGTGAACAGACTGTCCGCTCTGAAGAAATATACGTGATTCTTGAACTGGAGCTTGAAAACTAAGTCTTTGTCGATGCCATCGCCTTCCGTTGGTGGGCCCACGCTGTACCTGCAATTAGTTATTAACATAAATATTGTGAGTTATATACGTTTTATACTACATCTTTACAGAACAGATGAAAATAGAAATAATCCCTTATTCTATTAAATTTAATCAATTATTTTCTTAGAATCTAGTCTCATTTCTAATGCCAATTCAGCTGAGAGTGAGCAACTGAACTGTGATGTTTTCAAGCAAATGTAGGCAAATACTGCAAAGTGGTGGACACTACAATAGAAAATGTTGCAATTGTTTTTTTTTATTTACATCTTCGTAATAAAATGCACCTTTGCACGGTGCAAACATTTGTATTCATGAGTATGATTGTTTGTATCGGTCTGAGTATTTTCTATGTATATTGTGTATGTGTTAACAAAAAAATTAGTAGGTAAGGTAGGTAAGTAAGTATCGAGTGTTTTGTTATTAATACTTGGCAACTAGACAACTCAGCTTTTGTTGGTTTGTTACATACATATTGGTATTATTATTCTTCGTCTATCAGTTAGTATTATTGTTATTAAGAACTGCAACACGTATATTCTATCCCTAAATATTTTTGGCTATACATAAGTTGGTAGAAACACAGTGCAATAGAATTACCCGAGCAGCGGCAGCGAGGCAAGCGGGGTGTCGTCCTGCCAGCTCTTGTAGAAGTACAGCGTGAACGCTGCGAACACCACCCACAGCTTCTGCCAGCCCGGGGACTTCTTGAACTTACGCAGCAAATGGCCAGACAGTTGCGTCTGTTTTATAACATAAATATTTATATGAAACAACTTCAACGACTGTTCGTAAATAGGTTAGTCATAGAAATGTTTGTTAACGTTCGGATTTCTTTTATAACATAGGGGACTTGCAGACTGCAAACGAGCTTGCGGCTCATTTGACGGTAAGTAAGTACCGCCGCACATGAGCCCCCACAACATTAGAGGAATTACAAATGCGTTGCCGACTTTTTAAGAAGGAATAAGCTCTATTCTTAAAGATTTTAATATCGTATCGGTTAATTGCGATTTTGGGCTCTAAGTGTAATTGCTGAAGAAACTAATATCACGACTACTAGATGTAATAGAAAGTTAACACTGTTTAGGGTGTACGCAGGCACAATATTTAAAGTACAGTCGAATTGAGAACCTCGTTTTTATTTAGGGTATGCGCAGACCTAATATATAAAGTACAGTTGAATTGGGAACCTCCTGGTTTTTGTTTAGTGTACGCAGACACAATAAAGTACAGTCGAATTGAGAACTTGGTAGATTGTTTTAAAGTTGAATATAAGTATTAGTGACCCTGAGCGCCCCGTGCAGGTGTTCCCTGTGCAGCGAGGTGACGCGGTGCCAGCACACGCCGCCCAGCGCGCCGCCCGCGGTCACACACGCCTCCACCGGCGACTCTGTAACGATACGAAAGACTAAAAATATATTCTTGAAAACTCAACAATAAACGCAAGAACCCGTGCTAATTTATATATTTATTATGTATAAATATAAATATTATTATATACGATTTGTTTATACATAAATGACTTTTATTTAAAGAGGCATATGAGGTCACAGTGTCCAAATAATAATAACGAAACGTAAATAAAAATGCAAATATCGCAATAATAGTACCTACAGGGAATATACGAGAAAATGTACATTGTAGGAACACTATAAAACTAATAGAATCGAAAATATAATTGTTTTTTTTTTATTCTGAATACCATGGACACGAAATGGCGGGTTTAGCTATTTACATTAACTAATAATAGTTAAAGTAAATAGCTAAAAAATCGGTAATAATACCGATTTTTTTATTTTTCATTAAAATGACAAACAAATTGACAGCTCACCTAAGTAAAGCATCAAACATAAATTGCGTCACACCAGTTAAATCTGTTCAAAGTGGTCCAATATCTAAAAATGTCTAGTCATAACTCACCGATTTCCATTTCGTACGGCGTGAGTTCAGTGTCGACTGCGGTGTGTTTGTTACGCGCGGCCGCTATAGTACTTTCTAACGACTGGTACCAGCCTATGAATTCTTGCTCGTTACTAGTACTGAACAATAAGTCCACGTCCTCGCCTGCACACAAATAACAACTTATTTATCTACTCAATAGCTGCCTTTACACGACATGTTCTTAAACGCGTTTGTTTACTCTTTCGCGCGTTATTGCGTATATGGTTCAACTTTATTTTCTAAAAACTCGTATAAATTATCTACAATTATGTCTTTCCTCCATGGGTCCGGTCTTTCCGCCATTTTGCAATGACAATTAATTGTTACAAAAAGGCGGTAAAGCACGCACCATTGAGGGATGCGGGAATGCGCGATCCGGCGGCGCGTGCGATTTTTCTCGTTCTTTTTGCCTACATTTATATACACATTCTTTCCTATGTGAAAATCGATTCGGGCGTGAAAGAGCGTACATGTAAAAGCAGCTTATGTGTATGTGGCCAGTGCTACATATTTATTTAGGTTATAGCGTATGATAAATAAACGCCGGATAAGTTTTTAAGCATTAAAAAGTTAGCCTACCTTGTAGTTGGAAGGAGTGCGGCAGGTGCGAAGCGCTGAGCTGTAGCGACCGCAGACACACTACACGCGCCGCGCGGAACTGCCCGCCGCCGCCCGCACGCATCGCTATCACCATGATGTCGCTCAACTGTACATATTTCAAACATATTGTTGGCTAAATTGTAAATAAAAGGAATGCGTGCTAGGACTCATAGTAGAAGTGAACTTCAACGGACAAGTTTCTTTCTGTCACAAGGCGATAGCGGAGTCCCCGCTCTCCGTTCGCCGATGTCCTCTCTCCGCTGCCACCAGCCCTCCACGCGGTTTTAATGCTTTTTTGTGACCGAAAAATCCTAATACACCCCGTCAACACTGACGTTTCACTTTAATACTACTACTACTAAAATACATTTATGATTTCACTCTACGTTACATCCAGTATCCCAGTACAGTAATATTATTCCCTTGAAAAGAGAAACCCCAAACGAATTGTCTAAATGGTTAAATAAAAAAAAACTTAACAAGAGTACGATTTATCTATAACTTACCAAGAAAAGCATCCTTTGCTGCAGCCCTCTCGTGGAATGCTTGTACAGGCAACCCATTCGAACAAATTCCCTCTCGGCGACTAACAGCTTATCGTAACCTGCACCACATTTATCATTCAGTGACAAGCACACATTAGTTTTATTCATGATGATATGTAACGAAACAACTGTATAAATGGAACACGAATGCGAGAGGAGTGAAGTGAGGAATGAGTTGAACACTAGAACTATTACGATTTCCTAAGTGATCTGTAAATTTAATTATCATCATCATTGCCTTGCCTATATCCCAATTATTTAAGGTCCCGCCGTATGTGATTCTATTCCATTGATCTCTATCGGCCGTCATATCTGAGCATACTCTCCTTTTATTCATATCATCCTTCACACAATCCATCCATATTTTTTAAGGGCATTCTCTCCCGGACCATTCTTTTAACGAAGTTAAGTTCGTAAAGTGAAGAAATTTTATTATTTCGATTCCTCGGACCTACATTCATGTACTATGTTAAGTTACAAGTGCAATAAAGACCATTATAATGTTTGTATGGTGAGGTGCGAGTGCAGTGTTACCAACCTCGTATGTCGCGCTGCAGCTGGCACAGCGCGATGTGGTTCTCGACGTGCCGCAGCTGGTCGCGCGCCGCGGCCGCCGCTTGTTCAGCGAGTTCTAAGGCGCGTACGGCTGCTTCACATCCGCTACTCGCGCACAGTTCTGTATACCAACGTACCATGTTATAGTACACGCGTAAATAAAATATTTTTTATTAGACTAGTCACAGTTTTGTCTCAACAACAGAACAGTGAACAGTCAAAGATTAGGCTTCCGAACTCCAGTCGATGCCTGATGATACCTTGTTCAGAGAAAAAACATAATATTTTTTTATTATTCTCGTCGCAGTTTAGTCAATACTAGGCTTCTAGGCTATATCCGAACTCTATTCAATGTCTCTCTCTCTCGTTCAAAGACGAAACATAATAACATTTTTTTTTAGTTAGGACAGCAGCGGTGCAGCGGCCGCAGCAGCAGGCAGGCGAGCGGCAGCGGCGCGCTGCAGTCGACGAGTACTCAGTGTTAGGTCAGCACGGGGGGCGGACACAGGTACCTGCGGCGAGGCGGTGCAGGTGCAGCAGGCGGTGCAGCGGCCGCAGCAGCAGGCAGGCGAGCGGCAGCGGCGCGCTGCAGTCGACGAGTACTCAGTGTTAGGTCAGCACGGGGGGCGGACACAGGTACCTGCGGCGAGGCGGTGCAGGTGCAGCAGGCGGTGCAGCGGCCGCAGCAGCAGGCAGGCGAGCGGCAGCGGCGCGCTGCAGTCGACGAGTACTCAGTGTTAGGTCAGCACGGGGGGCGGACACAGGTACCTGCGGCGAGGCGGTGCAGGTGCAGCAGGCGGTGCAGCGGCCGCAGCAGCAGGCAGGCGAGCGGCAGCGGCGCGCTGCCGTCGAACGCGGCGCACGCGCGCTCCACCGCGGGGTTCCCGCGCCGCACGCTCTCCACCAGCGCCACCAGCGCACCCGCATTGCATATATACCTCACGTACTCCTACACACAATCATTGCTGGTAATTACCATATCTATTTGTTAAATATATTGTAATTTACACTATTCATTTTAATATAATCATGTTTATCTGCTATGAGTAATTCAATGTCATTAAGTAAGCGTTTAGCTTAAAATATAAAAATAACTATGCTATACTTACATCAAATGTACTCGACAAATGGTCATACAATAATTCAGGTGTCTTTTTGTACTCTGGTTCTTCATTATCTGTAACAAAATATATTTTCTCATTATCATTTTAAATTGACCGAAAGATAGTATGTTTTATACTACTAAATGAATTTTAATGATATATTAACAAAAACGAGCTCGAGGAGAGCGAGTAGCGCGCCGGCAGGTGACGAATGTACGTACCGTGCGGCGAGTGTACGTACCGTGCGGCGAGTGTACGTACCGTGCGGCGAGTGTACGTAACGTGCGGCGAGTGTACGTACCGTGCGGCGAGTGTACGTACCGTGCGGCGAGTGTACGTAACGTGCGGCGAGTGTACGTACCGTGCGGCGAGTGTACGTACCGTGCGGCGAGTGTACGTACCGTGCGGCGAGTGTACGTACCGTGCGGCACGCAGGCGAGTGTACGTACCGTGCGGCGAGTGTACGTACCGTGCGGCGAGTGTACGTACCGTGCGGCACGCAGGCGAGTGTACGTACCGTGCGGCACGCAGGCGAGTGTACGTACCGTGCGGCACGCAGGCGAGTGTACGTACCGTGCGGCACGCAGGCGAGTGTACGTACCGTGCGGCACGCAGGCGAGTGTACGTACCGTGCGGCACGCAGGCGAGCGCGCGCTCGAGGCGGGCGAGCAGTGCTCCGGCGGGCAGCGCGAGCGGTCCGAGCGCGAGGCAGGCGCGGGCCAGCGCCGGCACGTCTCCGCCCGGGCTCGCCGCCAGCGACGACACGCGCGACGACCACGTCTGCAGACACGCACACACGTCATCCTTCTTTAGTTTTTTTTTATTGGAGAGTTTGGACTATTATCAGAGGCTTAGACCTGTAGCACTGCGACCTACATAAATCTATTGTGTTCGCCCTATATCCGTCTCGCCACTACCCCAAATATTCATACCGACTGCTCACGACTTCACAATATCTGTCAATTCGGAGTAGACATATACAGCTCGTTTGGACGTAAAATGTATAACAGTATTTTGTTTATTTTTTTATCGAAGATAGATTAATTATTAATATAAAAATATTTACAAAGTAAACATAAATCCAGAACAAACTTAATCCATAAATACGAGTACACAGTAGTGAAGAACAACAAAGAAAATTAACAAAGTCATTGACAAAACACTATATAATCTTACGACCCAGTTTACATAGTACATATCTAAAGAGTAATTTAAGTCTTCTAGAAAACTTATATATTACTTTTAACTCTGATAAAATATGTAATAGGTTTTACTTACCACAGTGACTAGTTCGAGGTCCCGCTTGTATGTTCGCTCAGTCATTAGTAACTCCTTGGCGACAAAGTATGTGACATCTGCACCACGTCGCCGCCGAACTTCAGTTCCCCCGCCGCCCTCGCGGATAATACTCGTTAGCGTTGACGATATACTGAGAACACACAATACTATATTTGGAAACTAGAGATGAGCATTATTTTGTATAAGGTTAACAAATTTAATAGGGTTTTTAACTAGCTTTGTTCACAAAATATAGTATGTACTACTATTACTATTTTCAATAGAAAATCTGCAAATATAATAGTCTCAATATAACAAAAGTTTAAATATTTCAATATATAAATGGGTAATATTTGTTATTCTAACGAATAGAATAAAATATGTGGCACATTGCATACTTAATCGGTCACAGAGAAAAATAGGGTAATAAATAACGTATAGGTACCTACATTAGTACTTGGACTACTACTATTTACTGATTATCGAATTCATTGACATAAGAAAACAAGTATGTAATATACCTCGTAATAATAAGTCACAGATAACAAATAATTAGACGAAAAACAATTTCATTATTTTCAAAACCATTAATTTTCAAATACCTGTTATTATTATTTTGTCGTTTCAGTGTATCGCCCGCGTCGCTCTCCCCACCGCTCAGCACATCCATACTGGTCGTCGATTCTGATACAACGTGCACTGGAGAAAAAGTATTATTCCTATACAAGATCTGTATACATCCAAAACGACAGTACAAGAATATTCTCAGGCGTTACTTGTAAATTGTCATCTGTTACTCATAATTTCACCGAATTATAATTTCCCATCATATCAACATCGAATAAAAAAATAAAAACAAAAAACTCTATCATACCGTTACAAAATATATATTAATATAATAGTTTGTAAAGAAAATTTATTAAAGTCAGGCAGATATAGCCAGCGTTTTCATATAAATCTCCCTAACTAATTCAAAATTCAAGGAACCTCACAATCAGTGACCCAGGGTCCCTACAAGCCCTATCATACCCTGGGATTGCTAAGTTTCAAATATATCCAATATTTAATTTTAAACTTTCGTGTTTAATATAAATTATTAACCATCTCGTGACCACGGCTAATGCAACCTAGTCGAAACGTCGAGAGGTAAATACCTTTATTTGCCATAAAATTATTCGTGTTAAGACCCGGTTATTAATTTAAATAATATATATCCAATATTTAATAAGAATAGATTTTGAGTATTAGCACAGTCCACAGGTATCAAAAACATACACACCGTTAATATTCCCGTTGACTCTGTTGCAGTTCCGGTCGCGTGCGTCGTGTCCGTTGGCGAGCGCGCGCGTCGCCCGCACGTGCGGCGTGGACGCACACAGCGGCTCCCCGTGAATACTGGGATCTTCGTTCATATTCGGATCTTCCGTTACGTTTCGGTCTTCGTTCAAACTGCGATCTTCGTTCGCTGATGGCGACATGCACAGACTCGCCGACGACACCGTATTATCTTCCTCTGGCGATGTCTCGTCTGTTTTGAAAAATATATCATTAATTATTTCGTAGGAGAATCAACAGTAAATATACATGTACTAAGACTGAACTAAAAATAACTGAAATCTATAAGTTAAATTACAAAGCGATATGATAACCAGATAAGATTTTATAAAATACTGAATTATTATTGATTATGTGATTATTATTTATATTCTAATGTTGTAATATGAAATTGTCTTGTCTTTCAGCCTGTCCAGAACTCAAAGTTAACAGGCTACAATAAATTTGATTTTAAATAAAGACATTTTTCCTCTGAAGGAGATAGTAGTGCGCTTTTTCACAGCTACATTCATTTCGACACAAATACATAAAAAACTAAAAAAATAGTTTACTTCTATCGATCCAAATAGTTTAAAACAATTGTTCTATTGTCTAGCTATATTTATATAAAACTTTTTTTTATTGCATGCTTATTAATGTGTAAGATATATATGTAAAACTAAATAATAAATATAACTGAAAAGCAAATAAACAATAACAAAAATGAATAAATATAACCTGAAAACAAAATTAAGGTATAAAACAACATGAACAATTAAAGAAAAGTTTAAAAAATAGCTGAAAAAATATAGAAATATTTTATGTTACAAACCTACGTAACAAACTATAAACAGAAAAAATAACACGATAACATCATGCAGTTAAACGTTTTAAAACTTACATGTATTTTCCTGGCAGCTTATTTATAAATTGTGGTTACAAATAAAAATTAGCATAACAACATTAAAACGCAATTACATTTAATTTTATTTATTTATTGTTTAACTATCCCCGACCGCGGGGCGTAGTGTCGTGTATTGCAGGGATACCGTACACTTACATTCACATATAAATTCAAAAAGGAAGTAACATTTCAATACTCGAAACAATATCCAAATATACGTGACAATAAAACTATAAACAATAATTAATGAAATCGTAACATTACAGTCTATTCGGATTGTACACTTCAATCGAAAAGTCGAAGTACTTAATATCTATGATTTAATACCGATCGTTATTGCACTAACTAGGGTGGATCCAGCGATCCCTTCGGAGATTCGTAGACAGTCAAGCGGCTTGAATTCAGCACGTAAATTGCGTCTAGATTATTCAACATATACAAATTTCGCTTGTCAAGTCACGAAAACCTTCCCGCTAAATTTATAAACTTACACACTTATGTTTCATTGAAGCGAAATATTACCAAATAAAAAAAATACAGAAAATATTCCACATAATAACTAGAACAAATCAAAAGTCCTACACTCAAAATTTACGGAAGTTAAATAGAAAATATGATGCTTAATGAAGCACTTTGTAAGACATACGAATACGTTGATTGAAACGACTTGACCATCTACAGACCTCTTAACAGTTAATAATCTAAAATTGCTTCGTGCACACACGACCACGTTAGACACTTCACTAAACATTGCATTAATTGAACACTGCAGCCACTGTGTGGTGGATTGTTCATCATAACGCTGTCATCAACGGAAATAATATTAGAAGATATTTGTGCAAATGAAATTTAATTAATTAGAAACAAACTATAATATCTACCAAATATCAGACCATACCAATTCGAATTATCTATATGATTAGCATATGACTGTTCTTTCAATTAATTGATGAAAGTAATCACAATAAAATATTCATATTTTTGTAATAATATTATTCATAATAATAAACGAATATATTTCAACAACCCCAATAAAAATAGTATACTTGAATAAATAATTCAATAAAACGTAATTGACTTTCATTGAGCTTAAAACAAAATCGAAAATACACCTTATTATTGTACATGCATAATCTAATTACATTTGATCTATCTAAATATATAGGGGTAATAGTACAATATCGAGTATTTAATGTTTAAATATTTCACAAAAGATCTTTATTCAATTTTGATCATTATTGAGAAAGTAATAAAAGTGCGTATAGAATTAACAAATGAAAGCTAAACATACATAGTGATTTAACATACAGAGTACGGAAATTGTGAGCGACATTTCTTGTCAAAGTTTTTATTCATCATGTATATTCTAATTAATATTCATGTATACAATATTCGTATAATGCCATAAATATTTATCGTCGCAATAACATATGAACTACTTTCAATAACAAGTGAAGTCAAACATCATGTAGGCAGTTCATGGCAGTAATTATTATTCAAATGTTTTGCACTTGGTGAATTGGAAATGACCTTAAACTCACAAATACCAAACCTAAATATTGGAGCAAAGTATTCTCAATAATTACCAACTATAGTGAATTTTCAGGATAGGTTTAGAGAGTGGCGTTGAATTTGCTCGACTAATGTCATAAAATAGTTAATAAGATCGATTGTAAAATAACCTATCCCTAAAATTACCTTATTAATTAAGCGGTGATACCGATTCTGACATAAAATTGTTTAAAATTTAACCGATTCACGGAGAACATTGAAATTCATTAAAATGATGTTACTCAATTCATTTTCTAAAATAATGTTTAGAGAATCAGTTTCCTACTCACAAAAATGTAATTCGTCATATGAACATAATTTAACAAAAGATTTCTTTCGTCCCTATTATTGTAAAAATAAAAGTAACAAAACGTCAAATCTCTATTTCATACCAGTTTTAAACTGATATTAAAAAGACTGATATTACAATTCTTACAATTCACATAATATACCTAGCAGGTGAAGTGGTACAGTTAGAATGTGTGTAGTTACCGAGGTAGGATGTACTAACATTTCTCATCATTTTCTACTTTCATGTAGATATCATACAACCACCTACCACCCATGCACTAATGTCAATAACGTATTATATTTAACTGTATTATACTCGAACAGTACTGGAACTAATATTCCTAAACATCTACAGGGTAAAAATGGGTTGAATTTTTTCGTAAATGTCATTGTAAATTACTCTAGTTGCAATAAATAAACATATATATATATATATTGTCTTTGGTCTAATTTATCTGCTATGGTTACAACGTACTGTGCTTTTTATATAACGAATTATGTTGTAAAATGGCGGGAACAACCAAATGAAATGTGTAGCGCGAATTCGCAATTTATTTAAATACAGTACAATTTTACTTTGTATGTAAATGAAAATAAGTTATATCTTACTATTTAGTATTATATATTTTCATTATCTATGCAATAAACTAGCTAAGGTCGCAAAGACATATGTAGGTAATAGAAATGTTATTTGATAACATAGCTAAGGGCACAGCAGAAACATATCAAGGAAACATCGTAAATAATTTTCACCAGAACTTTTTTCTTAAACGTAGATACTCTATTAAATATTTAATGACTCGTAAAGAATAAACAAGAAGTTAACTCTTCTCAAATGTAATTTCAAACTGACATTAATATAATTTAGAAACATTTGGCTAACATTGTACAATTATTCTATACTAAATGTCAAGAAAACAATATTCGTAAATTTTAAGCCAAAGTCGATGCTAATTGCATTTACGTTGTAAATTATTATTATAACCTCAACATTTTTTTTCGTAACAATCTTTCTAATTTTATTATTTACTCAGATGAAATAATGTGGGTTTATTAGCATTATTATATATTTGTATGATTTTTCCATATTTAGAAATTTCTCTGTAAACGTCTAATTGATTTTTCGTATAGCGCAGTAGTTCGTATAGCTCCATATAGCTTTAGGTACGGCAAAAATCACACAGAAAAGTTATCAGGGTACTAGTCATAATATATAATAGATTAGTAATATAACATTATAAATATTTCTATTTTTGAAGTTTTTACTAATGGAGTGATTTCCTATATTACCCTGCAAGGAATCTCCACTCAATATCAAGCTGAAAATGGAAATGTAAAAAAAATGTTGAAATATTTGACTTTCTTACCCTTAAAGAAAGAAACACGAAAACGCATACCTAATAAAAAAAGAACATTATTTACAAATTAACATATTAAAGGATTGAAGAATTCTTGTATTGTGTTACTATACTACAAAATAGTAATATGTTTGTTTTGTTACGGTATGAATAGTACAATCATGCAGTTGATAACATTAATAAATGATAAAACCACTGATCAGTAAACGACAACAAAACGGTAGGTAATTGTTCCGATAAATACCAGTAAAATAATCATTAAACTCGCCACGCTGATCATTTTCGATGACTGATAATAATTCTATAACTATAACCTCCACGACATAATTTTCAACTATTAAATTACCTTATAATAAGACAAAAATCTTTATTAAAAAATTTAATAAAAACATGTCAATGATAATATTTAGTGAGAAAAAATTGAGCTTATTTGGCACAATTGCATTTTTACTCGTAATATGATCATTTCTATCAACGCGATTTGAATGTTCATAACATTTAAAGCAGTCATATTTTCGACAAAATATTGAATTACAAATGAATAATAAACAAATACACTAGTAAGTTTTTCAGTGTAGTTAAGTAAGTTACCTTACATAATTAACCAGTCGTAAATTAACATGAACAGTCAAGTCACTTAAAATGTAAAATGTAATTTATTGTATTTTTGCAAACTAATGTCATACATACGTTACTTCTACGTAAGTTAAATTTATATGTATTAATTATTTATCGGTATTTGAACATCGCGTCGTTAGAATAATTAAATATAAAGAATTATGTCAATGGGGACAACTATTAATAAAGATTTATTTTTTAATACTGACTATTTTGTATATTTAACTGTAAAGATAAATTAATAAAGCCATAAATATAAACTTACCGTAATAAAAGGGTTAAAAACATACGAAAACTACAAGAATAAATATTTAAAAAGGTGACCCAAATTAGATTTGAGGCAACATCCACGATTATTTCTATATAAGATATATATTTTGTATTCAGTGTATATAACACCATAAACCTCAAAATCGTCTGTGACATAGAACCTTTGAGCATTGGATTAAAAAATTAACACACAGATCTTGGATCTCACCTCACAAAGTAAATCACAGCCTTCATACATATAATTTTCATGAATTAAACTAATACATGACAGGGCGTTATTAAACCACACAAAAATCTATAAGGAGACATTTGGCATCAATGTGTGTTGATTTGCCACCTGTTGCCATTCGTATAATATAAGCGTCGAGTCAGCGCTACCTTTCTAAACGCATCTAAATAATGCGTGATGGGTAAAGACATTTATTATTATATCGATCAGAAATTCACGAATAAAACGTCGATTGTAAGATATTTCGTTCAGTACACATAACTACACCTAAATACTTATTAAGCTACAGGTAGGTATAAGTCCGCATTACACACGTTACTCAAAAGGGTCGCGCTATCCGGATTTGGCACTAAATATATTTTTTTAATTCATTTTTACTAATTAGTCAAAATGACAATGTAAATATTCAATATAATGATTACCCTAATATCAAATATCAATTATAACAATTGCGTAATTAGAATTTAAATCTCGAAACGCATAGTAATTAGCACGCTCGCATTGACGTCGATCCGACGAAATAAGTAGTGACAACAACCGAACAAAACTCTGAAGGCTTTAATATTCTGAAAGCGAACTTAATCATTTTCATCATCGGAGCAAAGAGGAGGAGGAAGAGTAGATACATCAAACTTTTGTTCGGGACTGTCGCTAGAGGCTTGCGAGTCAACGTAATGACTGGAATAAAATCGTTCCACATTGTTCAAGCTGAAACGTTGGTCGAGATCTCTAGTGTAATGGTCCTCATTATCATCCCCACCCTCTATGTCGTGTTCGTACTGAGGATAACACTCCTGTGTCTGGAACATATCGGCTTCTTCGTATTGCTCTGGATAAGGACTGCCTCTATATTCCTCATATTCGTCCTTATCCTGAGGCAGTTCGGTATCTGAATAGGCTACGGACTCGCCGCGCTCGAATAAGTAACTTCCAGATTTTGTCATTTTTGGCGCTCTTTTAATAGTATCGATAGGATAAGCGTAGTCGTCAGAATCATCTCTATCACTCTGTTCATCGTAAAATATTGCTCTTGGCTGATGTTGTCCAGAAGGCTCCCCGAGAGACATCTCTTCGGATTGACGGTAACCCGACTTCCCTTTCTTCAAAGAGGATTGGCGACTGCTTTTATTAGAATACGACACTCTGGGAGGGCTGTCCTCTTGTACGTAACTCGGTTCCTGTGTATCAAGGTAAGGGTGTCGCAATCGACCTAATCTATCAAAACGAGGAAAGCCCATTTCATCTTCGTCAGCAGAAGATCCAAATCCTTGAAACTGGACGGGAGTTATGCTAATAGGAAATTGTTGGGCCTCGTAGTTAGCACTTTTATATTTAGAATATTCGCCTTGACCTTCGTCCTCAGAATAACTTACCGGATCTGGTACGTCGTAATTCTTAGAATCTCCTTTGGATACTTCAGAAGATCCAGACTCGACTTCTGGAACATAACTGTCAGAACATTCCGAACTCTCCATCCGTCTTAAAGTGTCTTCTACAACTAAATACTTGGATCCTTGATGTAAATCACTTTCAGAAGAATATTGACTTTTAGTGGAGTCCTCCTCCAAAACATCTTGTATTTTTTCTTGCTTTTTTCGAGCTCCAGTAACCTGCTTCTTACGTCTAAATGTACGCATTCGTTCTCGCGGATCTCTTATAACATCTAGAGAGCTATCAGTGTCGTTACCACTAGGTGGGCTCTTTAAAGAAATATTTCTAACTAAAAACGATTTTTTTACGGGTGTTTTCAAGGGCTGAATAGGTGGGGATTCGGAACTCAGACTGCTAGAATAGTAAGGTGAGCAGCGCGAGAGAGGTGTTTTCCCAGACCTTTCTCCAGATTTCTTTTCGGAAAATTCTCTATGTACCGATGGGATTTCTGGTACAGATATCAATGGTAAATCAGACGAAGCTAAATAGTGTTCATGAAACGACCAACTTTTAGGCTTACTACGAAATTGTTGTGATGATTTATATTCTTTAATCTGGTTTTTAGAAAGTGTTTTATCATCATAGCTCGCATGCTTAGCTAAAGGTTTATAATCAGATCTTATAAATTGATTACCAGTATCTTCTCGAATAATATTAGAAAATTCCTGACTTTGATAACGTTCACTATGCTTCTCTTCTTGGCTGTACAACTGAGACGGCATATCGATATCTAATTCAGGCTGTGGTGCCACGACATACGGTTTAAAACCACTATCCTCACTTTGACAACGAGTCGTTGGTTTCATATATCTATGAGATTGCTCCTCATAACTCATACTCTTTGAAGGTCCTTTTTGATAACGTTCATGAGTTGCGTCGTGCGGTAACTGATAGCCTTTCAACCTTTGTTCAAATCTAAGTACACCGTTAGCATGTTTTTGTAAACTACTCAATGAACTTGAGCTAGATTTATCCGATTTATCACTACAACTAATTGAAGAAGACTTGTCATTTTTGGTAGCATAAGGTGCTGTTAATCTAAGCACATGCTCTTTACATTCGAAAGGTTCTTTAGATGGTGAAGATGATTTCTCCAATTCCATTTCTAAATCTATCTTTTCTTCGATATCAGGCGGCGGTCCCATAACTGCTGTGTGTTCAGATTTGGAATTGTCAGTATCTGGCTGATCCTCACGAGTGGTGACTATGAGAGTATGACTTGTGCTAGCTGACCAATCGGAAATAGACTGAGCTAATGTAAGAGTACTATCGCTTTTAGTCCCAGAGCTGCTATCTATACCTTTCCGAGATATTGTAGTAGTATCAGAACTACATAATTTATCGTATTTAATATTTTCAGAACTTTTATCTAAGCTACTACTTTTAGAGCTCATTTCACCATGGGAAATTTTCTTCGGTTTCTGTTCAGATTTTTTACTTGTTTGAGAGGAAGAATATGCTTTACCCGATATGTTCTCAGATTTCTCACTTTTAGGAACAGATACGCCTGAAATGCTTTCAGAAGCCGAAAGGTTAGCATATTGCCTCACAGTATTGGTCCCCGTTGACCACTCTGAAATGCTTAAGCAAATTGATGTATCTTCAGAATGTGAGCTATGCGTACATTTTTTTTGAGGTAGTCCAATTTTCACAGTTCCGTCTAAATCAGTGCCAAAAGAACTAGTTTCCTCCTCCGAATGACTACTGTGACTACATCTTTTACATGTCCCTGCACTACTTGTACTCAGCTTAGTGGCGGCACGGACAGTCTCATCAGCCCCAGTTTGCGACAGAAGGTCGTCAATAGATGTGTCTGAATTATTAGATCCGTATGAATATTTTTGTGTCCCCATTTGCGAAAATCTATCAAAATCAGGCGATAGAGATTTACTGTCAGCGCCAAATACATCATCAGGATCTTCAAATATAGGACTATGATTAGTGGGCGACTTTTGAGGTTGACTAATAACTACCTTTTCTTCTAAATTGCTTTTGATAACAAATGATTTATGTTCGCCGCGAGAACAGCATGATCCCATATCACTTATAAGGCAAGTAGCCCTACTTAAAGTTCCACTTAAACAGGATTTATCATAATTTGATACACCTTTATTAAGGCAAGTAAATTCATCATGCTTTTCTAAAGGTTCCACCATATATCCAGATTGTTCATAAGGTATAACCTTTACAGTTTTTGCTTCTTCTTCATTACGATCTTTTGATTTTTCAGATTTAGATTCTAGAATATCCTTCTCTAAATCATCATCGTTGTTTAATGTATCACTATCGTCATCTGAACCCTGTAAATTATCTCTAGAACTCTCGGACTGAAGAGTAACCTTTGTGGCTTGCTCAGGTTCGTTATTCATATAATATATATGTATTTTTTCAATTATGGGCGTTTCTAATAAATTACAAGGTACTGGCGGCCACTGGTCATCAGATGAACTTCGTCTTCTATCTCCTTGGTCTAGTTTAGGACTAACAAGAGGAGGTAATTCTGGTAAGGGCCAATCGTCTGATTCCTGGCTTTCACTTGCAGAAGACTGCTTTAATGGGGCTTTCAAAATTGATTTACTAGCTTTTTCAGGACTTCCACTAGATTTCTTTTGATCCCACGACTCATCCTTCTTTTTACTAATTTTGTCAGACTCTTTTATACTTTCATACATTTCGCTAATTTTTGTTTGATCTATTGGTATATCCGGCATTTCAGCGGAAGTCCTTCTATCTGTATCAGAAATATAAGCTACATTTGCATTACTAGGAGGATCAGAACTAAGACTGGCTTGATGATCACTGGAGTTCAAAGATTCTTCATTAATACTTTCAGATCGAGAGCAGGCTTTAGTGGAATCTTCGTCAGCGCTTGTTTTTTCTGATGCCGTACTTCTTTCTGATATTCTAGATAATGTGCGCCCGAAATTTTGACCATAGCCAATAACAACATCCGAAGGAGTTGACGATGTCGCTGGATAAAGAAAATTTACGGGGAAATCGTTCAGGTCATCTGTAAAGTCGGCTTCCGTAGAATCTTTAGATGTATTAGCAGATAACGGTGGATTTTTGGAGAATGTTTGGAAATCATCCAACATTCTTTGATTATTATATTCAAAGACGTCTTTATTAATTGTTAGACTTTCGTACCCTTCATGATCTTGAGGTATCCACGCCTCTTCAATGCTTGTACTATTTTCACTACCCGAAGCTCCAAAGAAGGGGCGCCATGTAGGCTTTAACTCTTCACCGCGACGATAAGCTTCTCCTAAGGAGCCAGAGGTGGATTCTGTCGTTTCAAAAGATCCTCTCGATTCCACACTGAGAGATCCTCTAGAATCCATACTAGATTTAGATGAGCTCTTCTGGTCATCAAGAAGGCGACCTTTTCTTCTTGACGAAGAGTCATCTACACTAAGAGAGCCCTTAGATGGAGTAGTAGTTGTTGTCGTATCCATACTAGATTTTGATGAACTTTTTTGATCTGTGTCTTTTAGTGACCTCTTTTTCATTAATTCTCTCTCAAAAGACGACGTAATAACATTGCCATCGTCATCAAAATCTATAGTAGTATTTTGATCTTCCTGGGATATTGTAATAGCAATTTTAGTTTTCCTAACAGTTTTATGGAGATCTTTTTTGATGTCTGATGTTTTCGAAGTTGATTGACTCGATTCAGATTCTTCAATAACACACTTACCAATTTTATCTAAGCCACTCTTCTTGACATTCGGCCTCGACAGCTGTTCAACAGTCTTGTCAATACTTTCAGAACTGGATTCCGAATCAGTTGGAGCTTTTTGAGAATCAACTTGACCTTGTTTCTCTAAAGTAGGTGTTGGTGATTTTCTTGCATATTTTGAAGGACTTCGAGGACTTTCTATCCTTGTTGGCGAACTAGCACATACTGGCGAAGGAGATTTCGAATTGGATTTTGAATGTTCGCTTGATAAAGTGTGCTGAGACAGTAAATGCTCTTCACCATATTCCATAGCTTGTTTAAGCTCTTCTAAGCACTCTCTGTCTTTTTTGTTAAGTTTTTCAATATCTTGTGATATACCAAGCGGTCTGGCAATAGAGCAGCTCACACTAGATTCATCATCAATTGAGCTTCCCTTGATATTTGCACTCGATGGACTTACATCCTTTTCTATACTTGTCCATGAGGTTGACTCCGAACTTCGAGACCGTTCTGCACTCAATTTCAATAATTCTGTACGTCTAGATTTGGCTGTTAACAAAGTTCGTTGATCGGGTTTTTGCTCCGTTGGCGATTTGTCACTACCTGAACTTCCAGTGTGCTCACCAGATTCAGATTTATTTGTAGACTTCGAAGTGCTCGAGTCTATAAATGGTATATTTTCAATAGTTGGACTGTTTTCTTGTGGTGGTGTGACGATAATTTTATTTTTATTCTTCCATTTAAGGTTCAAATCTACAGTTTTAGTAGAGTCGGGCGTGACTTTTATATCACGCTCTGTTTCAGTATCAGAGTTTAATTGAGACATAGTCTCGTGTTTTAAGAATTCTACTAAACTTGCTGAAGATTCATCGAATGTACCTTGAGTGTCTAATATTCTTCTACCTTTGCTTATCCTGTTACTTGTATCGGACAGCGGTAATTCTATATCCCCGGTATAATCGTCATAATCAATAGTTATCCAAGAACCAGTATCATCGCTTTTACCACGAGCCAATCTAATTCTTTTGCCCTTTTTCGAACCCTGATCTTGATCAGAAGAACTATCAGCATCAATATATGGCAACGAAATCCCTAATACATGACTGTCATCAGATACTTTTAGTTCACTAACTTCAGTTAAAGATTCTTCTTCACTTGTTAAACGTGCTACCTCACGTTTTCTTTCGGTGGTTGCTAGTTCATGTATATTTTGGGCACTTTTACTTTCCTGTAGCTCGGTTTGCCTTTGCTTGTTATATATATCAATTTTACGACGTTCCATTATAACAGTCTGGGTATCGTTTTCTATAACGGTATACTGAGAACTAGTCATCCATTCAATAGACGAATCATCTTCGGTCTTTTCTTTATAGCTATGAGTTGGTGATATCTCTTTTATTCCATGCTCTTTGACTATTTCTGCCTCCTCCCTAACGCTTGGATGTACGTCGACCTTTACAACTTCTTGTTTAAAGTGTCTTTCGCAGATTTCTGGGGTTACCATTGAGAGAGGAGTTACATAATTTCTGTCTAAACTTTTAGATTTTATCTTAGAGTCAAGATGGGGATCTACTTTTCTTTCCAAGCTTTTAGATTTAACACTTGGATTAATTTTTTGGTAAAATACTTTTCCTTCAATCTGTTGTTTAATTTCTTGTTTTTTAGATAAAGTTTTAGGTGATTTTTGAAGAGCTGCAAGGTCGTCCAATTTATCTTCCAAAGATTGACTGGATTTGTCATCCATACTTTTATTAATTTTGTCGTTACTTTTTGATGTTTTTTGGTCCTCAAAACTCCTGCTGATTTTACCATTCAATTTGTTATCAAGTTTCTTTGGAGATTTTGCAATAAACACATGATCTTCAGCTTTGCTATTGATTTTAGTTTCAATAATAATCTTGTCACCTTCCGTTTTGACCAGTATTTTATCCTCTGGTGGAGGAAAAGGCGGTAAAGTATCTTTTACTGGACTAATAAGAGTTTTTGTTTGTTTTAAGGCCGCTTCGAACAGCATTTGTTGTTTTTCTTTGCGTTTTGCAATTTCAGTATCGCTATCTTCTTGTGATTTAGTCCTTTCTTTGCTTCCGCCACGTTTAATTTCCATTTTCTCGAGTGATTTAGATTTTTCCTTGGCCATCTTCTTCGCTGTTTGCTCTAACTCTTGACTTTTAGCACGTGCTATGTCAAGAGGAGGAACTGTTAAAAAGTCCGGTCGTTCTTTTAAAGAAGATGGCAATGACTTTTGAGTTTGTAAGGCCTTCACTTTAGTCGCGTTAGTATCCAAAGAGCCTCCTTTATTAAGTTTACCACTAATCTTTTGCTTTTCCTCGGGTTTCGTTTTAAGTGTCAGCTTCTTCTTTTCTTTACGTTTTATTCTCTCCATGTCAGGTACAATTTGATCTTCGCTTAAATCTGATAACTTTCTGATACTACCTCTTGGTGAATTTAAAGAAGAGGTAGGTGATCTGGATGGCGATTTAGAAATAGGAGAACGAGATAATGGTGATCTGCTGATCGGAGATCGTGATGGTGATTTGACCTGAGAATTCAATTTACTCAAATCATATCTACGTTTAAATGATCTAGGTCTTCTCTGTTCAACCAAATCTTCTAATAACTGTAGTTCTTCGTTATCAATTATGACTGACTTTACGTCCTCGGTGAGTTCTGCAGATTGATCTTCTTCTACTTCCTCAATCTTGTCTATTGTTTCTTTCTTAACCGTTACAGCTTTCATAGATTTCTCATCGATCAGCGATTTCTCTTCCAATATTTCACCTTCCTCATTTATATCTTCGACGGTGTCGTCTTTTGACGAGAACGCATTCATTGGTGGTAATCTGTGGAGTTGAATAACGGGAGTATCTAAACTTTTGGCCCTACGGCTGGCTGTTGGAGAGTCCTGTGTCGCCTTTTGACGCTGTAGCGAGAAAACAGATCCCTCAGAAAGGTTTAATCTTGCATGAGCAAAAAGTATCGGCGTACCACCTGGTTTACGTAACATTGGCGATATTAATTCGTCTCGTAGACTCTTTTTCACATTCAACTTACTTCCATCTTTTATATCGTCTTTTGATTCGCTATGCTCTTCTGATTGAGTGGCCATGCCAGTTACCTTTTGAATTTCCATATCTGCCAAGTGTTCGTCATCTGACTTGATAAATTCTGTACTTTCTAATATAGGTGAAGGTATATTTTCATTGTACTCCCAAGGCGAGTTTTCTTTGGTTGTTTGTTTGATTTCTGGTACTTTAATTGCAACGTCATCTTCAGAACTTGGAATAGAAATAGATCTTTCAGAAATTCGCCGTAACTCAGTAGCATTACCAGTGACACTGTCGAGTATTTGAGGGTTATACTTTGCCTCAAGCTCCATTAACTTACGACACTGCGGTGGAGATCCCTCGATTTCTGTAGAGCTCATAGTCTGACCACGATGCCAGGCTCCAGAAGTAATTTTATCATATTCTAGTTGCAGAATGGGTTCCAAATCTTTACGTGACTGTGGCGGAGAAAATTCTAACTTAGGTGCTGCCTCAGTCGTACCAAATACGTCATCAGAATCAACACTTTCATCATCCGAAGAGAAGGAAGTAATTCTGATTTTATTATTATTTTTAGTCTTGATTTTGCCACCTGTGCCTTTTTTGCTTGTTCCACGACCTTTGGATCCTCTTTTAGGTGGTAGCTTTTCAGATTTAGATTTGATATCAGCGCGTAATTTTTCAGCAGCCGTCATGGGTTTAGGTTCTTTACATATTGGTGGTTGTTGTATATTACGACCATTTATAGCAAATTTAATATCATGTGGAAATTGTGGCTCTTGTCTAATACTGTCCGTTTTAGAACTTGTAGCTGAGTCACTTTCTATCTGACTTAGTTTAGAATTTAATGTCTCAAGCAATACTGGATCCAGATTTTTTGTAATATCTCTCTTTGGACTTGGTAAATGTTGCAGTTGACAACTTTTATCAACTTCTAAGGTCACTGGATCTACTTTCGATAAATCAATATTTTGTGTGAATAAAAAGTCACGACTTTCTACTTCCAAGAATTTAGAAGAGTGTTCAACTTGAATGCTATTTCTTGGTGACTTAGGAGACTTGGGTGACTTCGGAGATTTTGGTGACTTGGGAGATTTTGGCGATTTCGGTGATTTTGGTGATTTTGGCGAACGCGGAGACTTCGGATGATCGTGATACTTGCATCTAGGATGAGCACTTACTATGTGTCTGCCATTTTGTGGCGGCAACATAATGATATCTGGTGGCTGTTGTCTCTTATCTTCTATAGGCGATGGTGCCGTCCCATTCATGACATGCCTTTTATGTAATACGTACGGTATATCGTATCCATCATCTACTTTTTTATTGTCTTTAATGCCAGCTTTAAAAGCATCGAACTCCTTGAAATAATTTTTCGGTAAATCAAAGGGTGTACGTATGTAGTCCGCATTCCTGGAGGGTAATTCAAAGTGCGACCGTTTAGTAGCAATCGGCGGGGCACTTGGTATTTGGCGAAATATGTAATCTTCATCACTCGATTCCGCTGGAGTTAAGTCAATGGACTTTTGATGCATCAAGACATGTCTTCGAGAGTTGACGCTACTGAATCGAGGTCTATTAGCAAGACTATTTGGATCACTCTTGGTTCTCTCTACGGTAGGATGAGTGTACGGAATAGCAGTGTCCGTAAGACGACTGCTTGAACTAGTCTCAAGAATAAGTTTTGGATTATACTCATCGAAGTGTGTCTTCGCCATCAACTCTTCTTTCAAGCTTTCCTTTCGAACAACATGCATATGTCCTTTACTACGCATATTCTTATCGAATTCGGACTGGAGAATTGAAGGTGATTCCGCTTGAATTGAGGCTGCTTTCACTTTATTTTTTGTATATTCAATGCTATCCATAGCGGGTAATATACGAACATTTACATCAGATTCATTGGATGATTCCTTAACCAGGTGTGATGGAGGATTTTCCTTGCTGATAGAACGTGTCAACGATTCAATTTTTTCTTTATCAAAACTGAATACAGTATCAGAAGAGCGTCGTCTTTGATAACTGTGAATTTTCGCTGCTCTACTATTATCGATTTCGGTATCAAGCCCTACTATTTTCTCAGGCCAAATATGTGTAGTTTGAGGGTGTAAATCTTCTTCTTCTGTAGATAAATCATCGGATTTCTTAGGAGGACTGAGATCAGAGTACTGGCCGTATTGCTCCAGTTCAACGTTTTGTAAACTTGCAGAGTGTAAAGGACTAGGTTCCTTATGTTTATTGTTACTAGGAAATGTAGAGTAAGGAGTTGGTATATGATAATAATTAGGCGAATTAGCAAGATTGGCAATCAAATCTTCGTGGGACTTATCGAACAAAGTTTTCTCACTATATTCTGGTTTCTCCATACCGATAAAAGTAGATTGAGTATCGTAAAAATCTTTCGTCGAGTCAGGACTAGAAGATGGCGATATGGGTTCAAAGGGATCAATATAAGCATTCTGAATACTAGTAATACTACGACGTCTAATACTAATGTCATCGGGTTCATAGAGATTCTTTTTACAGTCATAATAATCAGACTTCGAATCCTGACTGGACGTTCTCGATCCCGATCTATCTGAACTCTTACTCTTTAAAGTTTCCCGAGATTTCTTACTATCCGTATGATAAACGCTATCGCGAGATTTTTTACTAGATTCTGCGCTACTTTTAGAAATTTTTGAGTCGTAAATATCGCTTTTAGATTCTTGACTGGAAGTCCTCGATCCGAGAGCACGCTTAATTTCTTTATAGAAACTACCGTCCGACCTGACGGACAATTTTTCTCGAGGCAAAACTCTCGGATCGTCTATCAAGAAAGGATCAAGCGGTATGTCGTTGTCACTCCTATATTTGAGTCGGACGACGTCGAGGTCGGGCTCGCGGTCGTCGGACTCGGAGAGGTGCGAGAGCGACTGGTCGTCGTCGGACGGCAGGTCGTTGCCGGAGTCGAGCGAGCAGGAGCGCGTGCGCGCCAGCGAGCGCCGCCGCGGCCGCGCCTCCGAGCACTCGTCGTCCGACCGCTCCACCAACTCGTAGCTGTCGTGCGACAGGTCGTCCTGCGAGCCGCTGCGCGCGAACGCAGGCAGATCCAGGCGCGGCTCGCTGATGGCGCCCGGGAAACTAGCGGAGTAGGTGCGAGTGATCATCTCGCGCTGCGCGTCCAGCGAGCCGCGCGTGCCGAGCACGAAGGCGAGCGTGCGCGCGTCGTCGTAGCGCGTGACGGGCGAGTCGACGCGGCGCGCGCCGGCCGGGTAGTAGGAGTCGAGGTCGGCGAGCATGCTGCGCGTGTCGCGGCCGCGCTTGGAGCGGCCGGCGTCGTCGAAGCTGAAGTCGCGCAGGTTGCGGCAGCTGGCGCTGCGCCACGCCGCCCGCGCGCGCCCCGCCTCCTCCTCCTCCTCGGGCTCCGGCTCGCCGTCCTCCGCCTCCACCAGCAACGAGCCGGCTCGGCTCGAGCGGGTGGACGCGCAGGCCGAGTACATGTTGCACTGCGAGAGCTCGTACTCGAGCCGCTCCGAGGACTTGTTAAAGCTGGAAGACTGCTTCGCTAGGAGGAAATCGGGGTAGCCGCTAGGGCCCGGGGAGGCGGCGGCAGGGCGCGTGGCAGGGCGCGCGGGGGGCGAGGCCGCGGGCGCGGGGGGCGGGGAGCGGGTCTGACCTGGCGGCGGGGGCGGGGGCGGGGGCGGGCCCGGGAGCCCCGGGGGCTGCGGCCGCGGCCCACGCGGCGGCGGAGTGGGCGCGCGCGCGCGGCCAGCGCCCGCCGTACTCGCCCGGCTCCATATACTCTCCGGAGAAACCTGACCACACAATTACCACGTTCAATACTGTATCTACATTGTAAAACATGAGTCAGACTTGTATGACTGTGATCATAGTTTGAACAAACTTCTTTTGGACTACACCTTTCAGTAACTGTTTTTGGATGGACAATACAAATTTTTAAGCATCTAAATATGCATCATAATATGTGGTGAATGCGTGTGTAGATGTATAAATAAATCACTCACCAACTGTGTCGTCGTCCGACGAGGCAGAGGCGAATCCAGTGTAGGATGATGATTGACCTCGGCATGGGTCACAAGCTCTGGCGCTGCCTATAACACGATATTTACGTACAACAACCAGAATTAAAATAACAAAACAAGGTATAGGAGTCCCAGTGCTATGTGCGAATCAGAAAATGTGCAATGATCATGTGAACACTTGCGATCCATTCCCAATAGTACCTTAACGATAACAGTGGCCTTTATATCAGTGGTACAAATGTAAATTATTTATGATTATATAAATACAAAAACAAAGCTTACCAAATATTTATTATATTAGACTTTGCATTAAATTACATGCAAATAACGGCTTTGAAAACGAAAAACAAGAGACCATTGTAATCGTTTTAGGATATATAATTAGTATTAAACAGATTATGATTATTAAGTATTTATACATAAATAAGAACAGTAATATAGTAACACCAAAAAACCTTGGTAGCATGCGTCCAGCGCTTACAATAGTTAATATAGATAATGTCAAATAAAGAATTCTGATTAATCTTATGATATTTCACGTGTGCATGTCATACAAGTTACGGAAGCCTTTTAATACATTACATTACTATTTTTGAAAAAACATCAATTGGACAGTTCCTGAACAGTTCGAAACACAATTGGACCCGGTATATAATGCTATTTATTCAAGGCAAAACGTCGCCTTACGGAGCTGCTAGTATTAATTAATGTAACATTATATAATATGTAGAATAAAATAATTAATTCAAATATAAGTGAGATAATCTTAGGTGGCTCAATCTCAAGATTTGCGATACTAGTCACCTGTAATGTAATGTATGAAGGAATTAACAAAAACTTGCATGCAACTCATAGCTCCCGTTACGCAACGTGCAAGCAAATTCACTTTGTATGTTCATAATAATAAGATTTAAAATAAAAAAAGAACAAACATAAAACAAAAGGAAGTCGTGAGTGTATCGATTATTTTTGTAAATACATACACTGTGCGTGGACAACAGAAACACAATCTCAAGTCAAGGTTAAAAGAATGATGATTTTGAAATATTAGAAACGTTAAGAAGCCAATTGCAAATGCCCTTACGATTTGGCTGCAGTACAGTTTTGAGAGCTGAAAGAAACAAAATATCTTCTATTGTGAAGTGCAAAACAAAACAAAGCTCTCGAGGTTTACCACTCAGGTGACTGTCCCGTCAAGTGGTGGTAATATATTGTATTATTTTAGTGTAAAATTATTAGCTTCACATTTTAGAAAGATTTAGATTGACTACATTATATTTAATTAAACAATATTCAGAGACCTTAACAGGAAGGCATAAGAAATAAGGGATACTCCCTTATGGCTCTTTTATAACGCCATTATTAAGTTAAAAAAGTTAAGATCTTAAATTGAATTTCTTATTAATATACGATTTAGTCATAATATTTATATATTCTTTTATTTATGACTAAGTATTGATCACCGAGACTCCAACCGCATGTAATCGAAATAATTTTATTATTCTAAATCTAAAATTAAAGTAGCCTAAGCTAGTTCTTGTAACGTTAGCTATCTGTGAGTGAATGTTCCGTCACATTCAGTTCAGCCATGTCAGAGATTAGCAAGAACATGCAAGGACAGGCTGACAGACCTTTTATTTTTTATTATATTTTTTACACCGTACCGTAAGTACCGTATATACTTCGAGTGAAAAGCTGTTACTTTGAAATTACCAACATATACGTAAATTTTATATATTTGTATTTGTGTATGCATTATCAAAATAGTCAATTATAGGCTCCTAAACAAAACAAAGTTCTCAAATGTTAGCTAATCTTTCTTTCAAGACTTATTATGACAGTCAATAGCCTAGTTAAAATAGTTCAATATTTAGTAGTAATAAATTATTATGTCTGACAAATAACTGATACGCATAAAGCATTTTTGTTTATAAATATAATAAATACTCAAGTTATTACGAATATATCAATGATAATTATACCAAAACAATAAGTTACTATTCAATTATAAAATTCAATCTAAATCATTCTAATTAACACATCTTTATCAACCTGCAAATTAGAATAAAGCACAAATTCTAATAAACACTGCAGATATTAAATCTGCCATAGAGTCATTTTGTTAATCAATTACACATCTGACTACAATTTCACTGCTTCGTGATAGAGTAATTCCAATCTAACCACTGTATGTTTATAACTACTATATGTCAGTAATCAAATAAACGTTATATAGTTTTATTCTGTATTTTGTAATACCTGAACTGCGATACGCATATACGAGCACGCATGAATGCATCTATGTATACGTATGTATGCGTATGCGACGCGTATTTGTATACGTATGAAGTGCAGAATCTTTTTAAACTACTTGTATTGGCAACTCGTTAGGTACGAGGCAGGTGAAGCTTACCTTACCTCGTAGCCACCGGGGCGGTGATCGTAATCGCCAAGCGTGTCTCCTCTGACTGTCCGCTGGGAGACGGCGAGACTCACCTCGCCCGCGATGACAACACGAGCGATAGTCGCGGGCGGTGGGTGAAAGGCCACCTACCCTGTGGCGTGTCGTGTGATAGGATGCGCTGTAGTGTTACCTTGTCCCTCGTGGTGACATAGGCGGTAGCTGCGAGCGGCGGGCGAGTCGCGGCCTCCTGCGGGCGGCGGGTGAAAGGCCACCCACCCTGTGGCGTGTCGTGTGATAGGATGCGCTGTAGTGTTACCTTGTCCCTCGTGGTGACATAGGCGGTAGCTGCGAGCGGCGGGCGAGTCGCGGCCTCCTGCGGGCGGCGGGTGAAAGGCCACCCACCCTGTGGCGTGTCGTGTGATAGGATGCGCTGTAGTGTTACCTTGTCCCTCGTGGTGACATAGGCGGTAGCTGCGAGCGGCGGGCGAGTCGCGGCCTCCTGCGGCCTCCTGCGGGCGGCGGGTGTAGGCCACCCACCCTGTGGCGTGTCGTGTGATACGGATGCGCTGTAGTGTTACCTTGTCCCTCGTGGTGACATAGGCGGTAGCTGCGAGCGGCGGGCGAGTCGCGGCCTCCTGCGGGCGGCGGGTGAAAGGCCACCCACCCTGTGGCGTGTCGTGTGATAGGATGCGCTGTAGTGTTACCTTGTCCCTCGTGGTGACATAGGCGGTAGCTGCGAGCGGCGGGCGAGTCGCGGCCTCCTGCGGGCGGCGGGTGAAAGGCCACCCACCCTGTGGCGTGTCGTGTGATAGGATGCGCTGTAGTGTTACCTTGTCCCTCGTGGTGACATAGGCGGTAGCTGCGAGCGGCGGGCGAGTCGCGGCCTCCTGCGGGCGGCGGGTGAAAGGCCACCCACCCTGTGGCGTGTCGTGTGATAGGATGCGCTGTAGTGTTACCTTGTCCCTCGTGGTGACATAGGCGGTAGCTGCGAGCGGCGGGCGAGTCGCGGCCTCCTGCGGGCGGCGGGTGAAAGGCCACCCACCCTGTGGCGTGTCGTGTGATAGGATGCGCTGTAGTGTTACCTTGTCCCTCGTGGTGACATAGGCGGTAGCTGCGAGCGGCGGGCGAGTCGCGGCCTCCTGCGGGCGGCGGGTGAAAGGCCACCCACCCTGTGGCGTGTCGTGTGATAGGATGCGCTGTAGTGTTACCTTGTCCCTCGTGGTGACATAGGCGGTAGCTGCGAGCGGCGGGCGAGTCGCGGCCTCCTGCGGGCGGCGGGTGAAAGGCCACCCACCCTGTGGCGTGTCGTGTGATAGGATGCGCTGTAGTGTTACCTTGTCCCTCGTGGTGACATAGGCGGTAGCTGCGAGCGGCGGGCGAGTCGCGGCCTCCTGCGGGCGGCGGGTGAAAGGCCACCCACCCTGTGGCGTGTCGTGTGATAGGATGCGCTGTAGTGTTACCTTGTCCCTCGTGGTGACATAGGCGGTAGCTGCGAGCGGCGGGCGAGTCGCGGCCTCCTGCGGGCGGCGGGTGAAAGGCCACCCACCCTGTGGCGTGTCGTGTGATAGGATGCGCTGTAGTGTTACCTTGTCCCTCGTGGTGACATAGGCGGTAGCTGCGAGCGGCGGGCGAGTCGCGGCCTCCTGCGGGCGGCGGGTGAAAGGCCACCCACCCTGTGGCGTGTCGTGTGATAGGATGCGCTGTAGTGTTACCTTGTCCCTCGTGGTGACATAGGCGGTAGCTGCGAGCGGCGGGCGAGTCGCGGCCTCCTGCGGGCGGCGGGTGAAAGGCCACCCACCCTGTGGCGTGTCGTGTGATAGGATGCGCTGTAGTGTTACCTTGTCCCTCGTGGTGACATAGGCGGTAGCTGCGAGCGGCGGGCGAGTCGCGGCCTCCTGCGGGCGGCGGGTGAAAGGCCACCCACCCTGTGGCGTGTCGTGTGATAGGATGCGCTGTAGTGTTACCTTGTCCCTCGTGGTGACATAGGCGGTAGCTGCGAGCGGCGGGCGAGTCGCGGCCTCCTGCGGGCGGCGGGTGAAAGGCCACCCACCCTGTGGCGTGTCGTGTGATAGGATGCGCTGTAGTGTTACCTTGTCCCTCGTGGTGACATAGGCGGTAGCTGCGAGCGGCGGGCGAGTCGCGGCCTCCTGCGGGCGGCGGGTGAAAGGCCACCCACCCTGTGGCGTGTCGTGTGATAGGATGCGCTGTAGTGTTACCTTGTCCCTCGTGGTGACATAGGCGGTAGCTGCGAGCGGCGGGCGAGTCGCGGCCTCCTGCGGGCGGCGGGTGAAAGGCCACCCACCCTGTGGCGTGTCGTGTGATAGGATGCGCTGTAGTGTTACCTTGTCCCTCGTGGTGACATAGGCGGTAGCTGCGAGCGGCGGGCGAGTCGCGGCCTCCTGCGGGCGGCGGGTGGTCCGCGAGGCCGCCGCCGCGCGCGCCTCCTCCGCACTGTATCCCTTCATCATCAGAGAAGCCTCCAGGTAGTGAGGTTGCTTGTCCCACTCCAGGGAAATCGCTGTATCCAACAACACAGGCCGGTGAAACATTCCATTATCGTATATTAAATATATAGAGAAACATCATCGTGATTACTACTCTTACACTATGTAAGAGTGGTAATATCGTGACTCTTATTTAAATTTCTACAATTTCAACACAATAACTACTAAATCTGTCTAATAATGTTGCTGTTCTATCTACCATAATTATGTAAAATGTGGCCGATGTGGCAACATTTTCATCTACCATAACTACAAAGAATTGTAAATAATTATGGAAGTCACGCAGAAAACAAAGTCGTATTAAATTTATATTTAATAGAAACAGTTCAATGGTAGATTATGGAACGACACATTTGTCAACATTCGAATACATATATAGGCTCGTTTCCGCAAATTATTAACATAAAAGCAAACATACAAATTTTTGAATTACAAAAAAATAGCAGCATCTCCCCAAAAGACAATCAAGTCAAAGACTATATATAAATTTTACTGAATACCAATTAGGATAAAATTTAATTAGAACGCTTCCACACTGCCTCCTATGCGAAGTGATTTTTTATTGCCGCAGAACTGTATTCTGAAACTTTATATTGCTGTGCTTAGTAAGTATTGACACTACTTTATTCAACCTGAGAAATATCTATGGGGCATTCACATATTGGGTTTGTCAAGGTTCTTGCGTGACGCAGAAAAGAATTATTTTAAGAGCAAATACTAAGTACAACAAAATTGAAGCTAGTGTTCTATGGATCTGTGAGTGAAGATTGTCGATTTACTGTACTGATAAAAAAAAATAGGGTAGAACAGAATATTTTATTAAATTATGTTAAGTTATTGCTGATTATCAACACCAAACAGGTTACTAAAGTTAATAAAAATAGAATTACAATTTGTTAAGTATTTTTAATAAATTATTAATCCAATTTTACAACTTATATATACTTCAAGCATAACATATCCATCAATAAAGATTTTAACTTAATTTTTTTGTTGATATCAATTATCATAATGAGAATGGTGTCGCCATGGCAGATGTGGGCGTGAACGAGTAAGACGTGTATATATCGGATAACATCTTTTGCTAAAAAGAAAGTAAGTATACATATTATGTTATATAAATTAGAAGCACTACACATAAAGTACAATTACAACCAGACTAATACTAAGCAACTCGTCCTCTGAAAATACTGTAAAAGTACCACCCCTAACGTAGCGGACGGCGCGGCTTCACGTCCCCCGTAGATCGTGTAGAGGTAGGTAAAAGTTGCCACCTAGAGCGCAGTGGAGGGCGCGGCTCTCGTGCCCTGTGGTGTGGCGGCGGCGGTGCGTACGTACCGTCGGAGCCGGGCGGCAGCGGCAGCAGCGGGTGCGCGGAGAGGCTGGCGTTGATGGTGGCGGGCGCGGCCGCGGGCGAGTGCGCGGCGTGCGACACGTTGCCGCGCGACGAGCCGACCGACCGCGACGCGCGGAACGACCCCGACCTGCCGACATCGGGCAGAGGATGGGCACACTAGCTTTTGTGGGGCCCGCGCCTGTGGCGGCCGCGGCCGAGTCCGATGTATCCAAACGCTGATGGGACTGCCCTAACACTATTGCACTGGAAATATGCTACCACGGCTGACCACGCTGAGAATGATAACTAAAGCGATGGAAACCTTTTTTTTCCTTATGGATTGACAAACAAATCGACGACCCACCTGATGTTCGCTTGCCATCGTGTGGACCGTTTGAGAGCATGTGTCGCCATTCCAGAGGACCGAGATGTAAAACCTCTTGTAAACTCGACACATTTGCACGTTTTAACTTATGGCGTTACTAATAAGTCAGGACTTATACAAATAAAAATTTGAAATTTGAAGGATCATAGTAGTTTTGTGTCTTCTTAATATCCTTCATAAACTTCTTACATTAAATGTTACCTTTAAGTAAAAACAATAACAACCTTAAAATAAGACAACCTTCGACATTTCAAATTGTCCTTGTATGTGCGTCCTTTTCGAACTTATTGGTGAAAACCATAAATGAAAAGGAGATAAATATGTTGAGGTCACTTACTATTTTGATTTTTAATTGCTTTAGTTATTATTCTGAGGGCCATACTATAGACACGTTCCCGCCCCCGGCCCCGATCCTGCTACAGGCCATGTCAGTTGTTATTTGAGGCCGCGCACTTGATTGTGGGCTCCGCGCTCCGCCCTGATGGGCCAACATCGCTACCTTTCGCATTGATCCCGCAATTCCCTTATTACTCTTCGTTAATTCATTACTTAAAAAAACTACGGCTATGATATTTATTTTACGTATACAATGAATAACACACCAGCGATAACGAACGCGTTTCTTATATACATTATTGTAAAGACTTACGTACTGTCTTTTGTGAAGTAGTAGTCAGTCAGTTATGGATATTGCTGAATAGAACTTTTTAAGTTGGGGAGTAAAATAATTAGTTTGTACTTATATACTAATTCACAAGCAATTTTTTCTGGATTACTATAACTGTATATTTCGTTATATAATCCTGGGATTCTAATTTACCTAAAGACAAATTTAATTTTGTTTAACAAATTATCAAATTTTATTATTAAGCTATTCATATACTCGTTCGAAAGCAATGTAAGTTATAATAGACCTAAACAATATGTTTCGACAAAAATGACAATTGCCGGCCTCCTTGGATTCCTTTTAGCATCACTTGGGACGTTCTCGCTTCGACGCGTCCTGATAATATTACTCGGCCGACAATTGCTGTATTTGCTGTCTATTCAATAATGTACATCACTCTTAATCGAGTACCATTCGAAAGTGAATTTAAACGCCATTCAATACGCTCTTAAATCGAATTAAACCATGCTTAGTTGGAGTCGCACGAACAAATCGATATAGGATTGGGGGCACAGTAATGCAGTGCGGGGTAGGTACACTCTGTCGGCCGAGATCAGTGAATTCCTTATGCATGATGAATTGCAATCAAGGTGTAGGAAATAATATATAACATCTACTCTTAGAGGTGTAGAAATAACAAAAGATTCTAACACGTTACGACTTACATTGAAATGTTCGGGGGGACGTGTAAAATAATTCGTGTGATAAGCGTGTTGGGGAAAAAAATGCATTGCACGAACCGTTCGAGATGCTGTCGTAGAAAAGAGGTAATTATGAGGAACTATTATGAATCTTATTCCCACTACATAGCAACAGTGTCGGAGCGCAGACCCATCATTAAAAAATCCCTAAAATTAAACGACCACACCATCCTCCGACCGATAGTCGCGGCGTCGTTGCGACTACGACCGAACACCTCTAATTGATAGTCTTTTGGAAGAAGCGAAAGTCTCAACGGATACAGCGCATGCTCGAGTATGCTAATCACCATCAATATACAAAACTATTCGAAGCCTCTCTAGCCTGGTTCTCATTAGTCGTTTTTAGGGACTTTTTACGTCAAATCATGCAGTTTGGCCTCTCGTTTCGTTTCGTCATTCGTCATGTATTTCACACAAACGCCCACAAGACAAAACCAAAAGCTAGTGTCTCCCAGCCCATGCTAACCACTCACCTTTAAAACTTATATATTACTAATATTAATAATCTAGATCAATTATATTATTAATAAATTAATATTATCCCTTGCTCTATTCCCTTCGGTATAAACTATCAGTAAACATCTAAAAAGCATTTACTAACTACGCCTTATGAAACCAAGATAAAGTAATAGTGAAGCGACGGTATCGCCGGTGTAGCTAAGCTGCCATTGTTCATGCAATATAATGCCGTCACAACACTATCGTCCAACATGAGTCCAATCTGTTCCAACTGACAATCTATTAGAACAAATATCTACACATCAATAAATCTACATTTCAATCTCATTCACAATAGTGGATGTTGAAATGGTAAGTATAATATCTTGTAAGATGTTTGTGTGAGTTGGCCAATGTATTATGTGCCAATATGATTCAACATGGATAAATATTCATAAACTACTACTATATGAGAAATGTTGGTCGAATAGTTGGACTGTTGGCCGATAGTGTAGTGCCCGCTTAATAAGTTGCTACATAAAGTTGGCTAAGCTGTTTCAATTTACTCAATATTACATACCTCTGGAATGTCTGCCGCTTTACATAGTTGTCTCGGACGAACTCGACGATTTGTTTCTGCGTTTTGCCGCTATACCTATGATATAAAATTATATTTACTTTTACATAAATCCTATTGTAATTATAAAAAGGATAAAATCTGTATAAGATAATACGTCTAACCTTTAAAAGACCTACCATGAAGATATTAGAGAAATTACCCAAATCAAATAAAAACAAACAATTTATTTGAAGCGAACAGTGACTATAGCTTCTAACAATATGTCCAGTGTATTCAGCCTGCATTAATTTTTCTGACATAAAAATAATACAATTAAAGTATTTAACTATTTAAATACTTATAAAACCATATTATTTTCACATTTCATTCAAATTACTATAATATATACAGATGACTATTACAGCAGTACATAGAACTTATAAATTACTAATTCTTTGACATTATAAAATAATGTGCTAACAACCATTTTGTCAAATTCTGTCTCGTTTCGTAAAAGCATACTCGCTTAACAATTGGCAATAAATATCTTTTCGTAAAATCATCACTTTATAATCTGTTCGCAATTTCAAAAAAATGTGATTTAACTGTACGCATTATTAAAATAAAATTATTAAGTACATTTAGTATTATTTTTTTATATTATTAATTCATATTTATAATAATATTAGCTACTCGCCCCGGCTTTGTCCGGGTGTACATGTATTATATATATCTATAAACCTTCCTCTAGAATCACTCTATCTATTTAAAAAACCGCTTCAAAATCTGTTGCGTAGTTTTAAAGATTTAAGCATACAGACATGCGACAGCGACTATTTTATACTATTTATTTATTTATCTATATAATGAATTAATGATATATTGACAGTATTGTTCTTTCTTTGTATGTACAACATCTTATTTCATAGTGTACCTAAACGAGGAGCCTCTAGAGATGACTCTGGTCTTGTGCCTCGGCAGCCGCGGCACACTCGAGCAGCGGAAGAAACCGTGGTTCTCCACACACTTCTTCCAAAAGTTCTTGCACTCGTTGCGTCCCTCGAAGAAGAATTCCACCACGTCGCGATAGTATCCCTAAGAAAATTAAGCACATTTGTAGAACCTACTTTAAAAATCGCACAACGACCAAACAAAATACTAAATACGGGTAGATTCTAACATACAATACGATATGATAACCGAAATACAAAAAATAGACGTAGTCAATTCGACCACATTTTGCGTCTATTCATGCATATGCGATATCTCCGAAGAGATATTATATTTTAATTTGCAATATTGGATGTGTGGAGTGGTGATGATGATGATGTGAACATAACACTTGATAGACCTTTTAAATTCATTCAATTGTAGCAAGCTTTATTATTACTGAGTAACAAACAAACAAGAAATTCTCTACATGCGTGAAAAATAATTGTACTTCACGCGGGCAGCGAAGCGGAATATAACTAGTGGTAAAAACAATAATCAACAAACAATTGTGAACTGTTTAAAACTGTTCTAAATGATTCCGACTTGAAATCACTCACATAGCCCTCCGGATGTAGTTTGATGAGGAACTTTTTCCTTTTGAACGATATCTTCCTAATCTTGGCCCAGCTGAATGTGTTGATCTTGGTGAAGTTCTGGAACACCGCTATGCCCATGTGCGCTACCGCCAAGTTGAGCGGTACACCCTCGTGGTCCTTTGCCGGATGCATCTTAACACCTACGCAATAAGGCTCAAATTAGTAAAAAAAAATCATCAAGTGGCAAATAAATAAAAATTCATAATATTGTCATCTGCGCAGATCAGTAAGGCCAACGTGACAAATTCACCAGGAATCTATTACGATAGCTTCCAGGGGTACCACGTGGAGGTCAACTTGACATGGTACATTGCTAGCAATGGGGTTATTAATCTACATTAATAACAATCTCAGTCCCGTCCCCCCCCCCCCCCCCTTTCATTAAAAAGTGGTCAATACTTTTTACCACGAAATATATCTAAAAAAATAATACCAAATGAGATGTTATATGAAAAATATATCTAAAAGAAATGGGACCACATGAGACGTTATATGAAATTAAGTGTATATAAAATTTTATTTTCCTTAGTCATTTCTTACACTTTTGTGTTACTACATTATACATAATATATCAGTACAGAAGTGTGAAAATACCTTTTTTTTCTCTCGTACTCGTATGTATGGCTGATCTAGTGAAAACATTATCCTATAACATTTTCTAGGTTTGCTGGAAGATATCTCTTTTTAGAGATAAGTTCGCCCTTGTACATTACATTTACCTTATCACTGTTATTTTTGCCTATGTGTGTGTCCAATAAAGAATAAATATATTGTATCTTGACTCAAATTGACATTAATTAGCATGTTTTCATTGCTAAATTTAGTTATAAAATTGAATGAGCTCACCGTATAATTCACACCTTCTTGCAGTTTCTAACAGGTTTAGGTCTGCCTCCGCGGGACTTTGACCTCTGCACAAAAAACAAATAAAGCTTAAAAATATATTTATAATGTTATATTATTTTTGGTGGATTATAATAATACACATATTAATTATATTTTTAAATAAATCATTAAATCGGAGTTAGTCAACATTGCTCGGAGTACTACTACTATAAGACTATTAGGTACTTCTAAAATTTACAAATTTATATACTCTTATTCTCTATTCTTAAGAGGAGAACATCAATTCTTAAAGTAGTTATTCTGAATTGACGAAATTTAGGGAGAGATAATTCTATAGTTCTATTTACTACACAAACTTTAAAAATTATCAATGATATAAGAAATTTAACTCGTAAACTTTCTAACCAAAACTACGTCTACATGACTGTGGCACGAAGATTTTCACGCAGATTAAAAAAAATCCTTACATGTGTTTTTTATGGTTCTCCATAATTCTCCTTTCGGACTCGGAATCTTGTCCGGGGAAGAATTTGTACCCGCTGAGGTACGTGTGATCCGGATAGTCTTCAGGGACGAAGTCACCACACTCCGCTGTTGAATGAAACAATGATATTATTGAAATATTATATATTTTCATACTAAGATGTTGGCAAACAAATATACGGCCCACCCCATGATAAATGGTTACCGTAGCCTATGGACGTTTGAAACACCAGGAGTGTCACAAATTCTTTCTATAATTTTGAGTTGTGACCGGGTGCTGCTTGTGGGGACTGGTCTGTTCGGGTTACGAACACTGAATTAAAAAAATTGCAATAGCATATGCTAGTGGTCACTCTATTGTCCCAAATTTAAATTTAATAATAAATCTGTATTAATTGTAAACATTATTTGAAAAGAATATAAGCCGAGTTTCTTTTCAGTTCTCAGCTCGAAAGCATTCCGAACTGACGGTAGATTTAATATATCATACGACTCTGTAATAGACCTACATGAATAGAGACACTATTATTGAATTGATTTGATTTACAAAAAAAAAAAATGTATCCATGTATTTATATCAGTTGTCTAGTACCCATAACACAAGCTCTGCTTAGCTTGGAACTAGATGGCGCTGTGTCAATTGTCCCGAGACATTATTATTATTATTATTTGATACACAACAGTCACTCAGATAATTTATATATGAGCTAGAGTATAAAAAAAATTCGTTCTACCAGACCGAGACTTCATTTATATTTGTAAAATTATATTTAATATTTCTATATTAATTAAGATGTCCAGTCTAAGTACCTAATCTTTTCAATCAATTCTTTAAGCAAATAATAGCTAGTGTTATGCTTCATTTAGTAAATATGAAGTCGCAGGCACCACTAGTCTACAAATATTACATTCCAAACAGATTAACTGGGTTCACGACGACACTACGTAGGTAGGTATGGTACGGGAGAGTCCTCGGGGAGATGCCGGGGCGTCTGTGAAACAGTTAGCTGCCACACCGAGGTCGCAGCTCCCGTTATACTAATTTATTCAGCAGTTACCGTATAGCGTACAAATAACTTATGATATATAACACGTGTAGTCGACTTTGGATACTACAATATCTATGTGTTGGCATTATGTTTTTACTAGATGGAATTAAAACAAAAAATATATACTATACTCTTAGCCTCATTGAGGGTTGACCGTAAAATTAAATACACCTAAAGGATCTAGGATCTTACCTTGCACTATGTAGCTGGCCATCAGCGCGGCGGTGTTCTCGTTGCATTGTATGCAGCCCTGCGCCAGGTCTCGCTTCACTTGCAGACAGAACAGGTACCGTGTGAACTCTTCCTCGAGCCGCGCCGGGTCCGGCGTGTAGAACTTCACGCAGAACCGCAGCGTCGGCTCCAGCATCGACAGACCTAGTTGTCGGCACATTGGTTTCTCCACGTCCAACCAGTACTGGTAACAAAAGACAATATCTTTTTACCTAATTGGAATAGAATTCCCATTTACTTGGGGTCGGCCCATCAATCTTCGCCAGTACATTCCATCCTGGCTCCTCTGGAGTGTTTCGTTTAATTAATCTTTATTCAAATAAACTAAATAATATAAGCACTTTTGAATAGTCATATTTTTAATTCTACTACTCATCCGGAACGCAGACTCATCATAAGAAGAATAAGCTTTTTGCTTAGTCTTATTTTTAACTAGAGTGTTGCGTTGTGAAATAATTGACGTTGAAAATTATAAAGTTGCCATAATAGCTGTTGAAATAAGTAAATAAATAATGACTTGAGTAAGAAAATAAATCAGTAATAGTATCAGAGCGAACTCCGAATGAACGATAGAATAAAATAATCTATTTCAAGCACAGTTTGGAACGAGAGCGGTAAGACATAGCGGTAAGCATTTAAAGTATTCAAGAGAATTAACTTCGTTATCGCTGATTCCATTCCATCACCGAAAAGTCAGTCAGAAATATACCAGCACAAAAGAGAATAGTAATAGAAATAGAAATAATCTTTATTCAAATAAACTTAATATAAGCATTTTGAATAGTCATTTTTTTTTATTCATTGCTCATTCGGAATGCACAGCATCACAAGAAGAATAAGCAAGACTAAGACTTATGTGTTCCTAGACCATCGAAGTCCTGGAAATGAATTTGTTAAAATATTTTTATATTTTTTATCTATTAATAATATTTATTATAGAAATTATCAATCTATTTTCATTGTCTATATATAGAAATGTTAGTGAATAAACTATTTAAATTATAAATACGCAAATGGAATAACTATAAACGTTACAAACCCGAGTGAATAAAGGACAAATAAACAAATAATAAGGACCAATACATATTCCTGTCGCGAGCAAATACTGTCATTGGCCCTGTTTTAACATTGGTTTATTGCCAACTTGCCATTTCTTATCGACTTTCATTTAGCACGCTCCGGAATTTAGTAATTCCATTCGGTACATATTGATTTTCGATAGTTTTGCAATAACGGATATGGTATTTTACAATTTCAATTGCAAACTATACAAATTATTATCTTCGACATATCGAATGGTAGAAAAGATATAAATTTAGTTTCAAACAATAATTTTAGCAAGTGATTTACACAATCACCACGCTGAACACTGCTCAATTAACTTACATTATATATATGTTGTTTTAACCAACATAAAAAAATAATAGGTTTCCAATCCATATATGTTATCTTGTCCCATTGGACATGCATTATTTATTAAGTTGGTTAACAACATACTATTGTATAGAAATATCTCTAATATGTCACACTGTCAAAGAAATTATTTTAACACACCTTTGTACCATTGGCGTCTTGATACTCTAGACCGAAGTAGTCCGCTTCTAGAAGATGCAGCTGTCTGCAGACTTGGTCGAACAATACCCTGCCCAGCGCCTTCGACTGTAACAAAATGTACTCTATGTAAATACGAATAGAACACAATAGCTATTACACTTTATTCAACAACAATAATCCTGACATATAAAAGGGAATAAATCGTATCCGTTAGGGACGAATTACCCTTCACCGGCTCTATAAGTCCTTCCGCAGGTTTAGAGTGCTCTCGTCCCCATTTTAGTCCGGTAAAGCTGTAAATGCCAGCTGCAGCCAACAGCTTTGTATGCACCAAATAAATATATTTATCTTTCTTTCTTTAGATCAGTTCAAAAAAGAATGAAAGTAAACGCTATCGATTGTGACAGGCTACTTTTGTCTCGGTCAAACATGGGTCTCGTTTACGTCATCGCATGCAGAAAGCTACACTACAATTCGAGCCTAAATTAAACCATCAAGTCTATTTTGTCTCATGATGATGCAATAATGAATAAGTAAAAATTTTGTACCCAAATTTTATACCAATTACAGGAACGAACAATAAAACAAATATAATAAACATTACACGACTACCATGCGTCTGACACACACATTACTCAAATAATCTCTTTTTCATAGCCTTTGATCATAGACCTGAATTCGACCGTATTTAACTTTAAAATATGAATTAGTATAGTTCAAACTTCAAATTTAAATATGGACGAAACTAGTCTTCATACTTTCTCTACACTAGGCTTATCTATTATTTAATAGGTACTAATGGACGACCATTAAATTTAAAATTATTTACAATACGAGTATATTATATATACTAGCTGTCCCGGTAAACGTTGTTTTGCCATATAAATTGATAACGCTATAAAAAAATATGTTAGGGGTGGAAAACCCTTATCACTTAGGGAAATGAAAAATAGATAGTAGCCCATTCTCAGACCTGCTGAATATGTATATAAAATTTCATAAAAATCGGTCAAGCCGTTTCAGAGGAATATGGTAACTACCATTGTGACAGGAGAATTTTATATATAAGATATATATATATCAACGTAGTTTTTTGTGAAGTGACGATAACCACATAGTAATATAATCGTTGTAAAAATACAACATCAAACATGAATGTCAGCGACTGTTCATTGTTCGTCTCAAGCAGAGATTTACGAGCAATAAATTGCAATCAAGTTTTTTAAAAGTAATCGGAATGACCAACAATCTGAATAAAAAAAGGAAATAAATGAATACATACTGTCGCCTATATACAAGAAAGCTAAGGACATTACGTTATCGTGTGAAGCCCAAGATACTACTGATAATGTGACAACTATATACAATCCGTTGTCATTCCGGAGAACTAAGACGCCTGATTCCTCTTATCTTCTATTCTTATTCTGTAATTTCACTGACTTATCTCACCCTTCAATCAAAAAACAGCTTATAAAGCAACCCGCTTACCGGTTGTATATCTTACACTGTTTATATTACGCCAGTTAATTGAACCACACGTATCTGTACGCATGTATGACCTCTGTAACCGTACAAGTGACATCACAGCCCCCTGTACGAGGGGACGCTGCCAGTCGAGATTATAAATACTGTTCAAGGCAAAAGATGAGTGGTTGGGAGAAGAAACTTTGTACTAAGGATTATTTGGCAACAATGAAAAGACACAAGTTTTAAACACCTATATTTTAAGTAATAGAGTATAATTTCCTTAAAGGAAAGAGTATTAGTTCTAAACGTGTACGGAAACTAATACTTTTAAGATCGATCGAGTTGACGTATTTATCGTCGGGTCCTTAAATTACTTTACATGCATCCCTATTTTATCATTGTCGTGAAAGAATATGACTATGTTCATTTTATTGAAACAAATTCGAGTTAATGTCAAATTAAGTTATTAACATGTCTAATTTCATTCATCTTTTTATTTTAACTGTTTTTAACTATAAAAAAAATATTTAAAAATAATTTATAGGTTAAGTTTAGTTTAAGTGCTAATAAAACGACTATATTACATTCAGTAAGTAAAAAATTAATCTAATTCTAGTACCAATACTACTTCTAGAAAGTTACCAGCGAATTACCCAGAGCAGAAATAAATAAAGCCGAATGCCATACGTCAGCGTTGGAATTTGGGGATTCGTTTTAGGCACTTTGCTTTGAATAAGAAATGTTCTAAAAAGAAAACGCTGTAAAACTAATCTATTTAAGAAAATAAAACCTATATATAATACTAGCTGTATACGCGACTCCGTCCTCGTGGAATTTAACTTTATTTTTCTAAAATAAAAGTAACCTAAGTTACTTCTAATTACATCAGCTACCTGCCAAAACTACTCCCTTCAAAATCGGTCCAGCCATTTCAGAGATTAGCCGGAATAAACAGACAGACAGACAGACAAAAATTGTAAAGAATGTTATTTTGGTATATATACCGTACTTATATATTTATATGCATGTAGTAAAAAACAGTTGTTTCAATATTACAAACAGGCACTCCAATTTCATTTATATGTATAGATGTATAGATAATATAGATGCTGTAACTAAATGGAGGTATACCTACGACACAATAAAAATGAAAGGTTTCGAGTATTTTCATGTTGAAGGAATTGTCATTCAGTGTTATATCATACAGGTATCATGACAGAGTTGACATCCCCTTTTCCGATTTTCTGGTTCAATTCCGGTGACCAAACATGTATAGTTATTTTTTTTTTATCCTACCAATATCATACGGTTTGCGTGGTGAATTTTTGGATGTTTTCGTTGACTTTTTCACGTAAACTATTGGATGTATGTACTGCAATTAACATAAAATACTTTTTACGTAATATTGTAGTTCTTAACAAAAAGTATCTTAGTCTTTCTTGTCTTTAACGGTAAAATGGTGCAAATAAATACACAAAAAGCTAGAATTATAAGGTTTTCCTGTTATGTACCTTTCTGTTTATGTGTCGTTACCTACTATGATATAAATAATTGTTATAACGTTTTTATATCGCACAGAACAAAATAATATATATATGTATTCTTTATAGATTAATTTAAAAATCTACAATCCATAAATAATGGTAAATGAAGAGATATGTCTATCTGTCCTTTTGAGTGAAAATTTTACATGTGTTGTTAGATTACTGTATCACATATAATGGCCTAAATGAGAGGCCAAATATGGAAAAAAAAAATAAAAATTCGTGAATGAATAATCTGGAAACGGATGAAATTACTACTAGCATTATGATAATAATATTTCAGGACAATTCATACAGTGCCGTCTAGTAAGGCGATGTGCTAAACCGATAAAGAACCGAGATCGTCAATAACGTTTACAAAACTTAAGTAGGTACCACTAAACCCTTTGATGCTGCCTTCAAAGGTTTAGTGATACCGTGAAACACGGTCAGGTCAATAGATATTTTGAAAATGATTTGTGGTAGAATATAAGTGTCGTACACTCAACTACATATAAAACCCAGAGTCAAAGTATAAAGGCTGGCCCCAACACACCTTTTCTCACATGACTGACTGACTGACACTCGATAGAGAGATGACATAGATTCAAGAGTCTACAAGAAATTAATACATAGAATATACGACATTAGAAGATGGATTATGGTTAATTTATGGCGCTGATAATAAAATTAAATAGATGTTGCAACTGCATGGTGCTGAGTCTAATTTGAACCTAAACTACTCTAGACAAAGCCTAATTTACCATGATTTTATTTTGATAGGAATGTCTTAATAATATCTAAACACGATAAGAAAAACAGCATTGTACAAACAGTATTTTAGAGCTAAAGTAACTTAGTGCTCAATTAATAAACAGCAATTACAAAATCGATATAATAGTTCAGTGGTAGTTAGTTATGTTACAAGTAGAACGCACATTTTAAAGCTCATCCATAAATGTATCAGATTTGTAAAAAAAATAGACAACCATCATGACTATATTAGAAACGGGTTAGAAAATGTAACAAAAACTCTATCTAATAAAATTAATGAACAAATGTAAGTCTGTAATAGACCTACATGAATAAAGATATTTTGATTTGATTTGATATTGGAACGCTTTTAATTGTATTGCCGCCAATGTTCATTGAGTTATAATTTTGTTAAGACTTTGGCCTCTGTGATTTCAAATTATTATACAAGTAAAGTATTTTATCGACAAGACTGTATTATTGCTATATCCAGAACCTAACTGGTTAATAACCGAGATGACTAACATTATATACAAATAGATACCCGGCATCCCTCGTCACATGGATATCAAGTAGACGTTAGTAAAAAATATAGTGATAATATAGTGTAATCTATAATGTATTTTATGGCCTAGTATATAAGGTATATTTGTAAAGTTCTTGTATACAGGCTTCGAGCGTAGTTGACGTCAACTGCGCCTTACTCCATAAATAACTTTAAGTAAAAATAAAATGGTTCGCCCTAATTGTTTACTTAAGAACAAAAGAGCAGGACGTTATTGCTTAACTGAGGAGAGGGAATAGTCATTGATTACGATAAGACCATTTTAAACTATTGTAATATTCATATATAAACATCTACATCCATATTTTGAAAATTCTAAGCTTAATATTGCAGTTCAACTAGCTGAGCCGGTAAACGATGTATTGCCATATAAATTAATATCGCTTTTAAAAATTATGTGTATGTATTTTCAATAACGAATCATAAAGAAATAATATAGTAATTATTTTCTAGGAAATAAAAAAAATATGACCACCTTTATTACTTAGAGGTATGAAAAACTTTGCTTGTACATGAAGAAAAATTATGTTTTGATAGTTTATCGCATAGTGCATGAATAGCATTTTAAAGATAATAAAGAAAATAGTTGAAGCTAATTACTGAGGAGACGAGTTAACATGGTGACGTTAGTTTACGAGGTTTAAGTTTTTTTTATACCCTTACGTAGGACTTCTACATACATGTACAGTACTACGGATATCACATTACCACACAGCATTATGGGTGACGCCCGTAAAAGGTGCCGCTCATGCGTTGCCATTCTAGGAAACTAAGATATCATGCCTCTTACTGTAACT